TATCACCACAATGTTTGGAGAGCCCTACCCCTCAAATTCCGCCATATTAATCTAATCAATCTAGAAAATGATGTTAAACATACCTCCTCACACATTCATATACTTATATATTTAGTTCAATATATATAATAAACAAAACAATTCATCAATCAATCAAGTGTTCCAATTAAAGTCCCAAGTTATCAACAATTTCGCATCTTTCAATGTTCCCTCATACCTTTCTATCAAACCAACATTGTCAAATAATTGCAAATTTGTGAGGACCTATTATCCTTTAACCATTTACATATAGCACATAAACCAAATATATATTTATGTATATATTTTTTTAAAATTAACCTTTTTTTCCTCTTCATAGTTTACCCATTTTTATTTTTAGCTTATTTTTTGAAAACCGTTCAATTCATCCCAAATCTTATCCCTTACCGAGAAATGTTTATTTTATGCCCACAATAATCTCCTTAAAGTTTATCCATTCTCAGGGAAACTTTATATCTTTTATAGACAATATCCCTACATCTTTACCCCTTCAAAATAATAAGGAACCCTTGTGAATGGAACCTTTTAATAAGCAAAACACCTTGATCAAGTGTCAATCTCCTTTTTAGGATCCCCATTAAATAGTCCTATCCCCATAATAGCAAGCCTAAAAAAAGAAATTTTTGCTTAACCAAATTGGAAGCCATATTACGTAATTTCATGCCCATCAATCTTATTATTTAATGAGGATTCGCTATGACTTCCTAAAGTTTTACATCTTTTTACCACCTCATCCTCATTTTAAAACTTTTTCTCCTAAACCCAGACCTGGAAATCGAGTTTAAGTGGGCTAATGCAACTTCCGATCAATGAAGGTGGTCCTCTTAATTTAGTTTTTTTGTCAGCCTTCCCTTCTCATCTACAATGCGAGGAGGTTATGAGTAAGCTTGTGAGTGATAGAGATAGTTTATTTGAAACTGTCTGTGACTTATAGATGAAAATCTTATGCTTTTTATTTTTAACTCTCCACTGTCCTTGTCATAAAGAGACTATATTAACCCTCTTCTGGCTAACTTTATGAAAAATTAGTCCCTCATTAGAAAATACTCCATTCCTCAAATACTCCGGGAACTCTGACAATGAATGGCTTGAAACTGTTCTAGTGCCAATTTTTTGTCTTTATCTATCAGATGAGGAGCTGAGGGTGACCTTAGGGTATAGACTTGGGTTTTATTCACCCCATAAATGTAAAGACTCTGATCCTAAGTGCCGACATAGTCTAACCCGTTTATATTCTAAAAGACGGTTTAATCGCCATAGAATCAATTCATCTTAATCTCAAAAATTAGGGTTGGGCCAACTACCCATACATCCTAGAACCAGTTCACTTATCCCTGTATGGATGAGAAAAGACCTTAGTCACTAACATTCCTTTGTTTGTGTCTAATTTTTCTCTAACCCAAACATTGATCTGGTTATTACAGCTACAGTTGAAAGGTCAAAAATCAGAGAGTACCACGGCTCTTTTGAATTTCCTTTTCCAATAGTTATTTCTACCCAGGGTTGTGCATTTGATCGGTCAAATACGTTTCAGTCAATTGACCGATATTTGACCGGTCAAATATGGTCAAATACGGTCAAATGTGGTCAAATTCAAATATATATTTTTTTAAGTTAATATTAACTTTATTTTGAATATAATAGTAAAATGAATCTATAATATTAATTTTTTAAATTCATTCAATAACTAACGTATAGCTATCTGTATCAGAGTCTTGTTCTGATTCATATTCAATATTATCATTTTCTTTAATATTTTTTAAACAATTTTCCTGATATCTTAGATCTTAAATCGATTTCTATTTTCATAAGAATATTAACCCAAATCGACCTATTTCTTTCTAAAGAAGAAGTAGAACTAGGAATTGTTAGTCTCTTAATGGGCAGTAGACAAAGTTTAATCTATTAACTTGAGGTCGGAATTGATTGTTTCTGGAAATTACTACTTTTCACATAATTTGCTGTATTAAACATGCTGTTTTTGCTTTTGAAATTAATTATATTACTTAAAAATTTTGGTCATCACTACCTTATATAGCTAATTCTTGAATTATATCACATACTTCATTAATTTCACTACTAGTGAGTTCTCTTCTTGATATTGTGGACCCAAAAAATAAGAAAACATTGTGATCACATGTATTTACATCTTTTTTCCCTTTTAAACATATTTTTAATTTATTTTTCCTTTAAATTTTTAGAGTATTTGACCGTATTTGACAAGTCAAATACTCCTTCGGTTAATTTCGGTCAATTGACTGAATTTGACTGGTCAATTGATCGGTCAATTGACTGAATTTGACTGGTCAATTGACCGACTTACCAACCCTGTTTCTACCAATGAATCACTGAGGCTATCAATTTTTCAAGATTTTATGTAATTTTTTTCCTCAATAAACGTGATAATGGATTTTCTTTTAAAAAGTTATTTTTAGTAAGAATGAGAGTTTGTGAGCATATTGAGGAGAAAGCGATGTCCTGGAATATAGGACTGATGCCATCTAGAGTATATGCTGAATCTAGTTGAAAGAAAAGGATAGCCTCACTCACTTCATCAGAAGTAAATTGAGATGGGCATATATTATAAGTTTGAGGAGATATTGGGGTAATGAATGGTTGTGGTAAGTGTTTTGGCAGAGTTTGATATACGTATCGTGAAGGCGTTATGTGCATAAAAAAGGCCTTTAAGATACTCATTCTCATTGCTAAAATTTAGCAATAGAGAAGGTATACAATCAGTGAAAGACTTAGAAACTAACAATCTTGCACCTTAAATAATATTTGGTTTGGGATAGTCGAGAAAAAAGTCTGAGAAGCAAAAATTTTAGAAGTGAAGAGGAAGAACAAAAATTTCCCTAGGAATAATTGACTGATTGACAAGGGACAGTGGAGCAAGGGTAGATTGTATTCATTTGACTGGAGGTGGTCCATGAACTTAAAAATAAACTATCATATCTAATATTTACTATATATCAGACAAGAAGAACGGATTAGGAAGACATAAAGAGAAATAAGTAAAAAAAATAAAACAATGACGGAAAATCAAGGAAGACAACATCAAGTTATGGAGCAGTGTAATTCTAAAGCTGGTGGACCAAAAATGGCTCAGGTCAGTCAGCAATGAAAGGCAGGAATACAAATAATATAATGAGGCATATTCAATAAAGCGAGAAAGGGGAAAAAAATAAAATAATTTAAAATCGCGAGATAATTTAAACAATATGAAAAGCGAATTCGAAATATAATATCACGATTATTAAATCACAGGAAAAAACTGCAAAATACATCCAATTATAATCGAGTGAATAGAATTGGATTAATAACCCACATATAATTAACAAGTCAATGAATAACACTAAATATAACCAAAAAGACATTCAATATTAGATGTATTTAATATATAAATAAGGCGCGAATGAATAAAAATTAATGCATCGCAATAATTAAAGAAGAATGAAAGGCTATTGCGAAATGATATAACACGATTATTTAAGAAAGCTATAGGAAGAACGAATGCAGAATATTTTCCATTAAGAATTGAATGAAAATTAAAAGGAGAAAGTAGCTGACGAATAATTAATTTAATATAAATAAAATATCAAACCGAGCACAAATGAATAACTCCAAATTTAACCAAAATGTCGCTCAATATTGGCAAGTTTATACCATAAGTCGCGAATGGACAAAGAATAATATAATAGTAGTGCAATAATTAAATCTGAATGAGGAATGCTAAATATAAAAGAGCTATAATTGGATCTGAGGGGAACTCGAATACACAATACCTCCAATAAAACCCCAATGAATTTATATGCGAAATTAAAATTAAAAAAATATTATCAAAGAAATATCTAACAAAGTGCGAGATAGACTTTCAGTACAAGAGGTGTATAGTTATTTTTTTAACAAGTGTGAACTTTGAACTGGTGATCTCCAACGGGCCTAATTTTTTAAACTGGCCCTGCCCGAATTTCTTAAAAATATGGCCCAACCCCGATCTTAAACGACATTTTTTTATTTGTCCGGAAAAGCCTGACCCGAAATAAGAATTGCGTCCGTCCCGGCCTGAATACATTTAAATATAGAAAAATATAATTATGAAAAATATATATTAGGGTCTTCTTTCTTGCAAGAATTTTAAAATATATTATTTTATTTGACAAAATGTAATGATATTATACCGACCTGGCACGAAATTTTTTTTAAAGGCCCGACCCAGCCCAAACAGAAATTAATTTTTATGACCATTTGCAATTCTCTATTTTGAACTATTTTAATGAAACATAAATATTTTTTTGATCTGGCAAAAACATATATAACGAAGAAAAATTGGATTTAAAAAGGTGGTCAAATTAATAACAACAGAACTCTATGTTTTGAAATAAATAACACCTAGCCACTTGAACTAAGGATGCGAAATATATTTTAATCAAACAAAATTTCTAAAAAATTATTTCCTCAGATAGGTGATTTACATTTGTGTCCACTGTAATGATAATTAATATATTTACCTATCATTTTTAATAAAATGAGTTGCTTCTTCTTCGAAGTTACCCAATATGGTTGTAACAAACGGTAAATTTGTAATTTATTTAATATTTTTGATGTCTCAATAGGTGATTGGTTTGTATTGAGCATTAGATTTGACAATTACATCAATACAAGCATAATTCCAAAATTAAAAGATATCCTTGGGTCAAGGCGCATTAAATTTATATTAAAATCGTTTTTTTTTTGGTTTAATTATAATTTTTAAATAATTTTTTTATTTGGATCAATATGAAATTTTTGAAAAAAACAACTATTTATTCATAAATCATTCAAATACAAATTTTAAGAAACCTATCTTGATTATATCCGGTTTATAACTTTTAAAATTTTGGCTATTTAAAACATTTTTTTTTTGATAATTGATAGCCAATTTTAATAATAATTTAAATTATGTTTTAATTATGGATATATTTATGCCTCGCCTCACCTTTGTCTTTTTTTATCTTAATGATCAAAAACTTAGTATAGAGGTTATAAGTTGGGTTTAATTTTTTTTATCATTTATAAAATAAACGGCGATGATTTATCTTCTATTCACTTTATTAGTCTTATCGAGATACACAGCAGCAGGTAAATTTTTTTAAATCTTTATTTTAATTATGAGCCCTTATTGAGATATCTAAATCCTATCCGTGTTTTAGTAAAAAAATTTGTTTCCTAAAATTTTAATAATTTAATATTTTTAGGGTGATAATCTCCTTTGTTTATTTACTTATTTACCCGAGTGCATGTATTTATCATTAAAACTTTCTTATTTTTTTTTAGACATTTATGCTCAACATAACATGGAACACAATTGAATATTATATTCTTAAAAACTCTGTAAGACATATTTTAAGGATATGTTTAGTAGAAAGATAATAATAGGAATTTGAAATCCTTTTATCAAAAGTTAATACACATTTCTATATAATTTATAATAATATTTTTGTATCTCTTTTATTTAAGTATTTAAATTTATAACCATAGGCATTTCTAAAAAATATATATATTCAAACAAAAAATATACTTTATAATTTAAAAAAAAATATGTGCCAAATTAATTTATATTAGGATTGTTTTTCAAAGGCGAACCCCGAAACTACCATCTTAAAAACTCGATTTCAAAGACGCATATAATACTATCAAAAGAGACCATTTTATATCTGCTTTTTTGTTCTAAGCACCCTATAATATTCGAACTATATTTATTTTAGATTTTTAGACATCTCAAGAGTCAAAGTATAATAAACAGAGTTATCCAACATATAATTCTTTTTACAAAAATTTCAAGCAAGATAGAGCCTTTGCCATTAAGAGGGATTTTATAAATTTCGAAGAGCCTATTATAAATTCCTTTATAGAAATAACCAGGAATGTAAACCCGAACCCTGAACCCTTGTATTTTGGCTGAACCCGAACCCCGACCCTTTTTTAAAGTGGAGGGTCCAACAGTGACCCCTACACTTTTTGAGGGATAGAAGCAGAATACCCTACTAAAGTACCCCCCCCCCCATTGTAAATTATTTTTTGACACCAATAAATTTCAAAAATAATTTTTATTGCATCAATATTTATTATAATATAAATATAATGTAAAAAATATATGCTTTAAAAATATTATTTTTAAATTAATAATTTAGATAAATTAGGGGAAGAGAAAGCAAAAGAATTTATAATTTCATCAATATTTAATTGTTTAAATAAATTATTTTCCATTGATAAAATGGTTAAATTATTAAGAAATGGATCTTTCATGACACTACGAAGTCTTGTTTTAATTAGTTTAATTTTACTCATGACCCTTTCGGCAGTACATGATGTAGTAAGAATAGTTAATAAATATTTATATAAAATTGTTAAATTTGGGAAAGCAGAAAAATTTATAAGCAGACGATAAGGTAAAATAAATGAATAGTTTCTCCAGTCTTAATCATTCATCTCAAAATTATTATCATCATCAGAAGAAGCTAAATAATGTATTAGTAAAAATATTTTAATTAAATAAATTTACAATTCTCAGAATCTGACAAATCTTCTTTAACCTCTAGGTCACGAGTAATAATTACGTCCCCCGTTTTAGCCATTTTATAAATATTTCTAAACATCAACATTTCCTCAAAAACTTGACTTGTATTTAATTGATAAAATTCACAGATATCCTTGATATCATCTTTAACAATTGCCTTTTCCGCCATTCCCTTTGGGGTAAAAAATGATGTTTGACTCAAAAATTTTATCGATTCATCGTTAAATCTTTCACTAAACTGCATAATAATTAAATCAAGTGCAGCATAAAACACACTGATTTTAAAGCTAAAATAAAATATTATATTTAATGATGAAAGTATATATATACCTCTCCTTTTTGGATTGTAATGTTTGAAGTCTTGAACTTTCAAAATCAAAAGGTAAATTTCTCTTCTTCATAAAATCTTGGGCCTTTGAAAGGACATCCAAAAATTCAGTGTTATTATCTATTTTAGGATTATAAAATAATAAAAGATAATAATTTAAATTATACTTCTCATATTAATGAGGCAATCTTTTACCAATTGAATTTGATTTATTGCAAACCCTATATCCTTCGAAATGGTTTGCAATTTTGTACAAGCCAAGCTAGTTATCAACAATATTTTATCCAAAACACATAGTGATAAAATAAAATCAAATTTTTCTATTCTATAGACTATAGCACTAGCCATAGTGGAAGTGGCAGGATCTTCAGAATCCTTTAAATTTGCCAAAGCTGCCCTCAAAGCATCATAAAGTAGGAAAAAATTTACAATCGCCTTATATGATGTTAGCCAGCTTCTATAAATATAAAATAAAAATTATATATCGAAACAATTAAGATAATATTACCGAGTGGTATTCTTGATGCGTAAAAATCTATGTGATTTTGTCACTAAATCACTCTGACATGTTTTGAGCACTTCATATCTTTTAACACCATTAAAATATACGTAAATTTCGTCTAATATTCCCAAGACATTTCGCAGCTCTTTTACTGATTGACATAATTGAACAACTATTAAATTTAATCGATGACAATAGCACCAAATAAAAGCTGCCTTTGGCGCCTCCGCTCTAATCAAAGCCTGCACTCCATTAATTCTTCCACTCATGTTTGAGGCGCCATCATAGCTTTGCCCCACTAGGAATTCGAGGGGTAGATTCATGGAGCCAGGCTTGGATATTATATTCTTTTTAATATCGAGGCCCGTTGTATTTCCCGTACAATAAATGTCTATCAGCCTTTCAACGGGCTTAGGTGTCTCGCTATTTTCAACATATCTCACTATCAAAGCTATTGCTTCTGATTTCGATACATCATATGTGCCATCAACTATAATTGAATAGCACATGTTTAATTCAATCTCCTTTTGAATTTTTTTATAACCATATTTTTCATGGTTTCAATAAGAATATTTATGTTATTATATGATAACAGATTTGAATATAATTTAGATTTTAATCCCTTAATTTTTTTCTCACTTCTTATTTAATAAAAAAAATTATTTTGCTATTTGTCCAATTTTGAGAAATATTCTTAAAAGCCACTATTTCAAAGCTTTTCTTTATATCGTGAAAATTAAGCCCACCATGTCTTTTTCTAATATGATCTGTCCATTTATCATCTCTTATATTATGATATGTACAATTTTTAATCAAGCATTTATATTTTTTTTGGTTAATATTTTTGGGCATATTTTGACAATGATCTAAAAATTATAAATGATTATATATAAGATTTAATATTTAAATTTTTACTATTCCCTTTGATAAAATTTTAATTTTGCGCCAAATCTTGAAAGTGGAAAAATAATTTTATGATAAGAAATATCGGATAACAAACTAATTTGCTAAACATCGACCATAAAAATTTTTAAAAAAAATTTTTTAAAAAAAAAGTACCCCCATAGAAATTTATAGAAGCAGTTGCTTCGGACCCCCCCCCCCGTTGTAGGGGTCACTGGGGTCCAAGGGTTCTAGGTGTATTAAAAATTTTTAAAAATAAAAATATTTTTTTAAAATAATATAAATTTTTTTAAATTTTATTAACTTTTTTTGTGGAATCATTTATTTTATTTTCGCTTTGTCAATTTTCTTCCTGAACTTCCATTTTATTTAGAGATTGATATCATTAGTGTAGCTAATAATATTTTATTATGTAAATTTTAATATACTATGTTATAAAAATATGTTGATTATTTTTAAAGTGAATTGTACAACACGTTCGTCCTCAATTTGTATGATGCTAGAACGATTATTAAGTTTGAAAGATTTCTGTAATTATTTTATTATAGGAGCATGTGAAGTTATTTTGTCGGAAAATGATTGTTGCCAAATAAAGGACCTAGTGTATTAGCTCTTTTAAAAATAACAATATTAAAATTACAATCAGAACAATTATGTTTATTTGATTTTTATTTAGATTTAGGAAAATTTACAGTCCTTTTTATACGAAATATTAGAAAACATGAAAATTCGAGAGCAACAATATTTGCAAAATAGTTTTGTATACACTTCTATATATTTAGACCCTCGATATCAAGTTTTATTGAGTATTGAGCAAAAACAAATGGCTAAAGACTAGAGTAAAACATTGTAGTTTACTATTTTAATTTCTTTCCAATTGGAAATTAGATCTTAAGGATTTATGATATCCTCAAAACTCCATTATTTACAATATATTGGAGGCTACGATAAGTGATAATAATAATGAAATAGCAACATTGTTGATGTTGAAATTTTACTTTTAAATAGAGAAAAAAAAATCAAATTAACATCAGTTAGAAAGGAGGATCAAAAAATGGCTATTACATCTTTAATAGTAAAGTTCTCAAAAGTCAAGAGAATAAAGGATATAAATATTTTAAAATTCTGGGAAAAAAATTCTTCAATATATCCAGATATTATCTAGAATCTTCATGGCTGTACCAGCATCGCAAGTACAATAATTTTATAAAGATAACTGTCTATTTTAGGCAAGGGTTTACGTATACGTGAATTTTCATCTGTAAAATATATATTGTTTAATTTTCGTGGAAATCTCAAGGACGATATTTTAGAAGATATTATGATTGTTCGATTGAATATAACATTTAAAATATAAATTATTTCATTTTAAAATTTTTCATTTGTAAATTATGAATATGTATATATTGAAGTATAATAATAAATGAATACAAAAAAAACATATTTTGAGTCATTGTTCCCTGAACCCGAACCCTGGACCCGGGTCTTTTCAAATTTTATTCCTGTACCCGAACCCGGACCTGGACCTGGGCCCCTTTTTTTGTCGAAGGGTTCACGTCCCTGCAAATAACACAATGGTCTGAAAAATGCATTTTCAGAAGCAAAACCAAATTATTTTATTATTAAAATGTGTTAACAAATTATTTAAATGCTTCCAATATTAATATAAGAAAGGTCCTTGATTCCTCAGGAAGCACTCACAAATATGAAAATATTATTATAGCAGAATCCTTCCGAATCAATTTCAAACCTATAGTGAAAAAATTAAATATTTGGCAGATTTCTATTGTGAGGATGTTAAAGATGCATTACTAACTGAATGCAAACTATGCTATAAAAGGTTTACTATGGCCCTTAAAAACCTATGCTAATCCCCTAAAAAAATATCTATTAATCATACCTTTTTAATTATGATGATAATCCCTTCATTCCAACTAATTAAAGATCTATTACAAAAATAACAACCAGAAAGTATTTACCCTATGACAGAAGGTCTATTTAAAGATTTCGCGATCTTGTCTCCTGAACATTCACTCTTCTCTCGTATGATCCAACACCTGTTTTCTAATATTTAATTTTTTACTTTAAAAAAATATTAGTTACTACTTTTGGATACTCTTTTAGAATACTTTTTTTCTAGATATTTCTCTTTAAAAAATATTTTTTTTATATACACCTATATTCCTTATTAAATATATATAATGTTTCTTTATCTAATATAAATCTCTACTCTACAATATAAAGACTTTATATACATAATTTTTAAATATGTAATAAATGCTAGCCCTTTTTTTATTTTACTATTTCTAAATCATCTTAAAACGTTCGGGCTAGGCGTGTAACCTACCTATTCAAAATAAAATAAAATTTTACCAAAAAAAATGGAAAAATGTCCTTTTGTTACTATCACTTTAATTAGTTATTTATTATTTGCACTATATTATGCTTGACCTGACCCTTATGATTTGAACCAAAAAATTATAGAAAGCTTCTATCTTTTTATTGATTGAGAATATTTTTTATATTAATTTCTCTGAGTAAAAGGCTAGTTTTTGGATTTAAATACAGAAGAAGAGGTCAACTTTCAATTTAAATATAAACCTAACAAACCGTATAAGCCAACCCCACCATAGTCTTAATTACTTTAAAAAAAACAAATCCTTCTTTGTAAATAGGAAATCGTAATAAGGACGATTATGATAATCCTGGACACGTTTATTTTGGCAACGGTTTTAATCCTTTAGGTAATTATGATGAAGAACGAGAAGGAAAGAGATATGATAATTCTCATAGTTTTGATGAAAAAGATCCCCAAGAAGATGATAATGATAGCTTTTGGGACGACTTAAATGATTCAGATAATGATGACAAAGAAGAAAATTGGGGAAATAATGGAAAAGGAAAAGTAATTCAATTTCAATTATTATTTTGATAATTTTAGAAATTTTAATATAAACATACTATATAATATAGTATATGGCAAATTTAGAGCTATAATTATAGAATCGTAATTTGATTTATACATTCCGATTTTAAAAGAAATGATTTATTATCCCTATCTATTTTTGATGAATGTTTTTTATAAATTTATTTTTACTACCTTTCTTTTAACATTTAGGCGGAAAATGGAATTAATTTACAATACTTTATATAAATTATAGGGAAAAGGTAGCAAAAGTAGAAAAAACATTGAATGCACTTATGACACCGACACCATTTGTTCTATGAAAGGAAAACGATTTAGAGGTCTTCCAGGATGCCGGTAACATTTAATACATTTTTTTAATCCAAAACTTTTACAAATATTTATTTTATAATATACATATTTATAAGAAAATTCGTTGATTGTTATAATCCCTGGAAACCGATTTTTGAATGCGGACCCGGTAGAATTTTTCACCAAGGAGTTCAGTGCTGTAGAAAAATGAATCGTAAATTTAAATGTCGCTGCTATATAAATAGACTCTTAACAACTACCAGCCTTAAAATTAGTGCGTTAACTACACCCACCTCAACTACTACCATACAAACTACATTAACTATTACACAACCAACTACAATTGCAACTACACAAACAACTATAATTGCAACTTCACAACCAACTACAATTATAACTACAACTACTACACAACCAATTACAACCACTACTACACAACCAACTACAACTACTACACAACCAATTACAACCACTACTACACAACCAACTACAACTACTACACAACTAATTACAACTACTACTACACAACCAACTACAACAACTACACAACCAACTACAATTACAACTACACAACCGACTTCAATAACTAGTACTCAACCACCTATAATCAATTATACACAACCTACTCCAACTGTCACTGATACTATATTATCTTCCTCTATTGATACCGTTAGAACTCGTCGGACAAAATTTACTACAATTAGTATCACAAACACTACACAACTAATAACTAGTCCTACTAGTACGACACCAACTACACATACGATCACTCAAACTTGGACTACAACTACAATGTTATCCACACAATCAACACCATTTTCAACAACTACTACCAGTACCACTCAACCTACAACTACCACACTATTGACAACTCCCTTAACTGTACAATCATCTACTGAAGCCAGTCTTTCACCTTCACCAACATATAGTACCTTGAGGAGTTCTGGTCCCAGTGAAGTGACTTGCAAAGTGAGGCATGGTAGCGAGAGGCAAGAGAGCGAGAGGCATGGCAGGGATAAGAAGCCTTGCTACTAAACTTTTTTTCCATTTTTTTTTAAAATTTATGAGAAATTATACCTTACCGTGGATCATATTTGTTTTATGTAATAGTTTTGGTCAAGTGATTATTATTATATTTGCTTTATTATTTATGTATAAATAGTCTTGATAAATTGTATTCAAAGTTTATCTCTAATTATAATTCGCAACACCATTATTATATATATAAGAAATATATTTATTTATATTCATAATTCGGCTACACTTATAAATACCACTCTGGTACACATAATTATTTTTAATTGTCTTCAAATTTGTTATGCCGATAAATTCCGTTTGAGACAAATATATATAACATAATTTGATATATTATTAATTTGAAGGAAGATGAAATTATAAATTTCAAACGTTTATAATTTAATAGTTCTGCAAGATCATCCCGTGGCCCGAAATATATTAAAGTTATATTTCATTAATATTTTTCTTTTTCTTTGCTTGCTTAAGGCTTAATCAGAGGGAAAAAAGATCCCCCATTTGAATTTGCCTCAGATCTCTTAGGACGGGCCTGTCGGTATAAGCCTAATGTTATATTATATTTTCTAGCGGGTTTGGATCTGGAAAAATTTTTTTTAATAAGCTTGGGCCTAAAAAATTTTATTTTTAATTTAAATTTAGCTTATTTAAAACAGGTGCTAACTTAAAGAGATATTGCATCTTCATATAATAATAAACTTCAGCATTGTAATAAACAAAATGATTGCCTAAATGCACTTAAATATTGTTTAATTTTATTAAATACAATAAATTAAATTTTTGGATAAGGGCTTTGGAAATTTTTTTGAAGCTTACCATGAGTTTGGGAATATTTTTTTAATAATATAGATGAGACGGGTTGAGTCTGGGCCTAAATATTTTCTTTATTGCGGGCTTTTGGCAAAAGGATAAGGCCCCGTGAAGGTCTCTGATTTGCCTGTTATTGTAAATGCCATTTTAAGGTAATGGATCCCCTACACCCACCCCCTCTCAATGTATACAATATATCGTCACTATAAACGATCATTTGAAAAAAAATTAAACATAAGTTATTATTTTTTTTAAATAATGACTATAATTAAATTTTTTTATAAAAAAACATAAAATTATTATTTAAAAAAATGTAACAAAGTCAAAGGCTGGCAATAACTACTCTTAAAAATCTCCAGAATTATGGAAAAAAATTTAACCTAATAGTGCCCGCCTCTCAACCTTATCAAAATCTTAGTTACGTCACGTCATTATAATATATTTTAGACAACATATTTTTAATATTATAATAATTGTGTCGATTGTAATTTATTATTTAAACAACTAGTAAATAAATAATTTAATCAAAATAATTAATTACCCGAAAATAGTTAATAATCAAATACGCGACACATAATAAATTAAAATCAATTATAATGACTAATAATTAAATCCGCGGTAAATATATACAGTTACTACATACCACACCTGTTCGGGCAAAAAAAATGTCAAATTCTCGGATTCAAATATGAAATTGATATTAATTATTATAGGAATATCCAGGATAGGTTAATAGAGAAAAGAAATTCCTAGCAGTTCCCAAATAAAGTATCCTTTTAACAAAATAAAAATAATTTAAAAAGGAAAATTTGTTAATGAAAAAAAATAGATCCAGACAAAATAAAAAGAATCAATCTAAAAAGGAAAAAGAGACAATCATATTATTAAGATATTATTAATCGAAAAATAAAAAAATCCATTCAAAAATAGAATTTTTTTTTGGTTTTATTACTATTTATTAAATTTCTTTATTTTTACTTGAATTTTTTCTTACTTTTATTTTTTGGGCGCCTTGATTAAAAATATCATTGTAAGAGGGACAAAATTATAAACATTCTAAAACGTTTTTTTATATTAAAATAAAATAAAAACGCTCTAAAAATGGAATTGGGTGGGAGTACAATTTCCCAAAGGACATGAATGATTATATTTCCATATTGTAATTTGAATATTTTGCTTTAAGAAAAAAATTCTTTATGTTCTGATGTACGGACTCTCTTTTATCGCCGATATTTTTTTTTAATTTTAGAATTTCACTTGACATATGTTTAAGGAAAAAGATAACAATTGATAAAAACAACATAATTTGTTAATTTAGAATATATTTTTTTCTCAGCTATATCAACCAGATTAGTATTTGCATTATTTGGAAATAAAGATATGTACGTGAAGTCCCAAATTAATGATTTATCTAAAGACCAAAGTACAGAGATTAAACCAACTGGCCTTAAACTATCATCTGATAATAAATAAGCTGACACCAGGATGTTTGTTATTCGGTCCCTTAGAGAATGGCTAATCACTGAATTAATCGCTGCATGCCTTGTATGCCTGTCTTGGCTATATATACAGTTAAGACCGTGTCTGCCTTTGAAATGGGGGGGGGGGGGGGTTTAAAAGTTATCACCATTCATAATTATAATATTTTGATATTAACATATTTTTTTTTGTAAGAACTATGTATATGGTAGCATAGAAAACGATCATTACTTATTATTGAAAATTTTAAACAAATATTTGAGGGTCAGGTTTAAAATATTTTTTGTCTTGTCTTGACCTTCACTGGGGAAACATACAGTTAAGTGGTTTCACCCAATAGAGGACGTGCATTGAATTTTCATCCACTGATTGGCAGTAAATTTACCCTACTGTCAGGGCTCATTTAATTAAAGAGGACTGACGGTACCTCTTGTGGATAAGCCAGGATCCACTAATTGACAGTTATTTACTCTACTATCAAGGCCCCTTTAATTTAAGAGGACTGACGGTACCTCATGTGGATAAGCTAGCATCCATTAATTGATAGTTACCCTACTATCAGGGTTAAAAGTAAATAGATTATATAGTGTTATTGAATTATTATAGATATGTGTGTATAACAAAGGAATACCATGTAACTTAATGCTTACAATATTCGACCAATCTCCCATATTTATATATTATATGATTCGATCATATGATATTAGTTGCTCGTATATTTTTGTATTTTGTGATAAATATGAATTCTAAAAGCAGAAAAAAATATTGAGGAATGAAAAGAAACCTGTTGATGGTGGTTAGTAATATTGTATTTGTATAAAAATTTCTTGTCAAATATTTTATCGTTTCCAAAAAAAAGCTGACGAAAGTCATCAATTTTAATTTGAAGGATGTAAAAATTCTAAAAATTTTTTTTGGGTTGTTTGAAATTGGAATTCAACATTATTAAATCAAATATTGACAGACAATATACTGATATTTATAAAAAATGAGCCTAAGTTATAAAAGACAAATATTTAAATTAATCAGTATGAAATTTTCATTATTGCATTATTTAACCATTATAAATTTTAGGTATGTAATTTATAAAAAATATTCAATATAAACTTAAGCATATAATAATAAAATATATTATAAGGAGGTGTGTGAAAAATCTAATAATAACCAGGTTGAGCAAATTTTTAGAAAAATTCGGTACAGGTGCTTTTAAGAAATTTGTATTTCCGATACTATATACTTAAAAATTTTAATAAGATATAGGATTCATACTTTTTTAAAAAATATATCTAAGATTTTTTTATTTTTTTATTTTTTTTATGTTTACTATTTCATTTTATTTAAAAAAACCATTCACGATTTACAAATAAAATTATTAAAAATATATACATTAAAAACAAATAAGCATATATTAAAAATGAATTTAAAAAAAATATATGTATAAAAAATAAAGAGAAAAACAATTTTAAGGAGAGTATAAAAAATATAAGAAATTTTATTTTATATCTTAACTTAAGATATAAAATAAAATTATAACTAAAATAAAAATATAATTTGAATAAATTGAATTGTAATAACAGTAAAAATTTGAATATATAACAAAAAAGAACTGAGAAAACAAATATTTAAAAGGGTACAAATCACCCTAGGGAAGAGTGAATGCTTAAAAATTGGACCTACAGATTTCCAGAGATATCTGCTGATGAAGGTGAAATACTTCAATGGGGTCCCCTGGAATCTGTCTCATTTTTTTCCCTATGATTTTAATGAAATTGAGGGCATCACTTCCGAACATGCCTAGGGTATTGGTAACGATTGGAATGAACACAGTGTTGGTGAGGCCGGCATATTTGTTTTTTTAAGAGTTCAGCCTTTTCTATAATAGAAAATGAGAGGTTGGACTTTGCTGAAAAATCGACACAGGTATAGTTCCAAGCGAGCGGGAGACCATTATCCTAGGGAATGAGAGATATCCCATCTGGACGTGAGGCGTTTTTGTTTGAGAGGTCCACTGGTTCGAGGGTTGATGGAATATTAACTTTTTTGAGGGCAGCTAAGAGATGTTTTTGATAGCTTTAACTTGCAATGCAAGAGATCGTAAGCTTACAATTCAATGTGATGGCGACAGTCGATACAAATAGAGGGAACTGTGGGATTACAGCCAAGGCGGAGGGCTATGGAAATGCGTAGCTGTTCACCGTTCAAGATGAGGCCAAGATTGGAACTGGGAATGGCTTCCAACTATTCGTAACCTAAGTTTGCATATAATCAAAATTAAGTTTCAACCATAGATACATTTAAATTTATGTTTAAAAATGTGCATTATAAATCTAGTTTCTAAAATCATTAAAAGATACATTTTTTTAATAAAAAACTAAGTTAATTGATTATTAAATTTTTGCGGTATTGGTTTATTTATTTTATTTAGAATCTCCAGGGTTTTTTGAGTTAATGTTTTTTTTCTGTTTATCTAAAATTTTCTGATGATTCATATAATTTATATATGATATTCAAAGAGGCTTCTTGCAATGAAACAAAAAATAAAATATTTTGGATAAGAGATTTTTTTACTATTATTCTTTTATATCAAATTTATAGATGACGCCTAACGTCATATATCATTACCCTATCTTAAATCTGGACTCAAATTAAATTTATGATTCAAATTTTAAATTAATACATATCATTTTAAATTTTAATACTATTTAAGTTAACTAATATAATCTTTTTGTTTTCTAAATTGACTTAAATAAAAATATTTTAAAATAATTTGTATTAGGGATACAGGATACTTGATCATTTTTTGTATCTTTTATAGGAGATACAAATATTCTCTACACTGCCACGCCCCATTATGGCATATTACATATCTCCATAATCTTTGAGATAAAATTATAAATATTTTTATATATAAAATATTTGAGATCATTTCGTTTTAAGATATTTAAATTCTTTATTTGCCGATTTAGGGCTATTTTTAAAATTACTTTTTATATCTTGCTCGATAATTTCGTAAATTATTTTCGAGGATTTATTACAAATCATTTTATTTAACACAATATGACAGCAATGGAAATTGAACATTCGGCTGTGGATAGTGTTCTGAATCAAGATGATCCTCATGGCTTACTAGACCGCATACGTATTAAATTATCATATTTCAAAGCAATCAATGAGTTTTTTAGTTAAAAATGATATGAAAACTGCGAATGAAGATGAGGTAAAGAAGGCTGAATCAGAGATATTAATGCTTGCATCTAAGTTATCAAAGACTGGAAAGTCTAAAGGTATCAAATTCAATTAATATATATATAACTTTTATACTTAGAATTAGCAAATTTAATACGATATATACGTCCTTTCTTATCAAATATAAGCAAGGCCAAAGCAGCTAAAATTGTACAAACCTTAGTTGAAAAATTCTTGGAAATGAACACAACTTCTGGATTAGAAGTTATTTTATAGAATAAAATTCTAAACCTTTATTATACTAGGTTGATTTATGCAAAGAGTGTATTGATTGGGCCAAAGAGGAGAAAAGAATTTTTTTAAGACAGGCTTTAGAGGTAAAAATTGTACATATTATATATTACCTTTAACTTAAATAGGCAAAACTTTTATCCGTCTATTATGAACTTAAAGATTTTGACAATGCATTGGCAATTAGTATTATAACAAATAATTGTATTGTAATTAAACATTGTAAATTAAGGTGGGCCATTACTTAAAGAATTGAAAAAAATGGATGACAAAAATTTATTAGTAGATGTGCAACTTATAGAAAGCAAAATTTATCATGCATTAGGAAATTTACCAAAGTCAAGGTACTATTTATCTATTTAAAACTTTCAAAAAAAATTAGTAAAATTTTATATTAAGGCTAAGTCAATCCATAAATTGTTAACTGATACAATCTTACATTACTAGACCATTTTTATTTACCATCTATACATGAGTGAATATCATTTAAAAAAATTAAATTTCTATTTAAAAAATTAATTATATTTTGCTTTTTATTCTCCAAAAGTTTATATTCATATTTAAAATATGGGCTATGTTTATGCTTTAATGTTTTTAAATACCTTTATTTAGCTGGTAATTTTTTTGGCTAATATTTTAACCTTTTTTTAAAAATCAACATATAAAGGTTTGAATATAAACCATTATATATCTTAAAATCCTTTCCTAGTTGCAAATAATATAAGATAATGTTTTTTGAAAATATTGGTACAATCTAATGTTATATTGGAGTTTATTAAAAATTAAAGAATAATCTTTATTTTGAAAAGCTTAGTTCATCGTCAAAAGAATCTTCATTCATATCCTCATTTATTTTTTTTATCTTACAGATAATATTCTGTACATATATTGTTTTTTAAAGAAATCAAGTCTGCCTTTTCTTTGTCAATACAGGAAATAAGTTCCATTCACTGACACCTACACTGTTGTCCAGATTTGATGGAACATTTTCATTTTTTTAATTTATTTGAAATAAAATTATTTCACTTGTAAAAAAATGTTTAAAAAAACATTTATATATTCTTATAAATTTTTACAAATATAATTTTGTTCAAATGAATTAAAAAAATAAAATGTTTTAAATTAAATCTGTAAATCATTAGTTTTACAAGAGCCAATCTGATTTAAATAGCAGGTGAATTATTGCTGATAATATATATTCAATTGAAGTAAAATAAAATGCAAAATATAAATTATAAACAATTCTTCAACTAATATAAATTATGAACAATACTTCAACTGTATACCTACCCTTGTCTTGTTGAATAGCATTAATAAGTGGCTTATAAAATGAAATTATTTAAAGCAATTTTTAAAAATAGTAGTTAATAAAGGAGTGAGATTCCCAAATGCATTTTCTTCTCCCTCTAAAATTGAAGGAGCCACAAGAACAGGTTACATAACCTATAAAATCATATATACAGGCATACATTAATCATATATGAACGACTTGTCATTATCTGAAAATCTCTGCAATTTGGATTTATCACAAGATTCGCCAAATTTGTGGGGACACCGGCCTGAGTTTTAAATTTTTTTTGTCAGACCATATTATTTTAAAAAAATTTTACCCTGACCCATAAATTTTTTAAAATAATTTAGCCCAACTTGGGTCTAAATTTTGATGGCAGTTTTTAAAAAATTAGGCCCGTGGAAAAGGAATTTATTAATTTAGCATTTTGCCGTTCGTTTTTCAGCTTATATAAATTTACTTAATACCAAAGAAAAAGAGAACTATTTTATTTACCTAGTATATAGTAGAGTAGACAAATAAAAATTGTGTAATTTAACTAAAAAATAAAAACTATTGTAATTTGTGATTAATTTTAAAAATAATTTTACTTTTCTTTTATTAACTAGTTAAATTTCAAACGAATGGAAATCAGAATATGAGAAGAATGATGTGATATAGTAAAAAGCAGAATTTTGCCTCTTATCTATAAACACAATTTATTAATTATTATAAAGTATCATTTATTTACAAAACTTATAAAATTACATTGAATTTATTTTTTTTTATAGGATTTAAGTATAAATATTTATTATGTATAAGGAATTGATATAATAAATTATCGAATTATAATTTTTAAAAAATTATAATTTTAGGCTTGTTTTTAAATTATATAATTTAATAGTAAAAATGTCACAATTTCAACTCCTGGTACTTTCATTTCTGACTAATTTCAATCATTTCTAATACATTTTGTGTCTGAACTCCTTTTCTTGTAAATTCTCGCATCATTACTTTTCTTCCTCATATATCCCCACTTTATATAAGAATTTAATCCCCTTTGCAATAATTTTATGGTTTAATTCTGCTCTTATTACTCTAGAACTCATTTGCATATTTTTATTTATTCTCGCTCACTCATATATAATATTTGATCCATTCTTCCATTCCTTATCTCATTTTCGTTAAAATAAAAATTAAATATCAGAGCCTCACTCACCTCTGCCAGAACCACGGCCAATTCCATATACTGCTCGCCTAGAGTGCAAGGATCTCTGGACCTTCAGTCGGGCATAGTCCATGCTTCAGAGGGCAAGGATTTTAATACCGCTTATTCCTATTTTTACGAAGCCTTCGAGGCCTTCGAAACCTGCGGGCCCGATTATAGGGTACGGACTATAAGCGCTCTCAAATACACTCTTCTTTCTAAAGTTATGCTGAACAAGTAATATTTTAATTATACATTTTTTTAAAGATCGCGGTTCCAAGGGGTTCTATGGGGTTGAGAGTGTGGTTGCCTCTAGAATGTAGTCATTCATTTGTGTTGTTTTTGTGATATTTATTGAATTAATATTCATGTAGAATTAGGAAAATCCAGAGTGCTAAATAAGATACTAGGACGGTATTGGTAACAATTTATTTTTGGATGCTAGAGAATTTAATTTTATGATTCCTTTTTCTATTTATCATTTTACACGTTTTGGCAAATTTTTAAGATATTTTAACTGCATAAAATTACTCTAATAAGATAATGAATAGGCTGGCACTCCACGATAAATCAACCAAATTCGGGACTCCTTTCAATTTTTTTTAAAATTTGGCAGCCAAAGAAAGGTTAGTATAACTAAGAAATAACCAAAATTTAGTCTGCTAGCATTTGGAGATATTAGAGGACAAAGTGGTAAAAATGTCGGCCTTTGTTCAATTATCAATATCTTAGAAATTACATAATTGCAAATAACAAACTTAGTATCAATATTTATACTATAATTTTAGATAATTTTTTTCTGATTTTTCCAATTTTCGGCCAATGTCTATCTATAAAAAAATATTCCGTTTCCTGTTTTTATTGATAGTTTAACTTTTACTATATTAGATATTATAGAGCTATATAATAAAATTTAAATCATGTTTTTAGCTTAATTATTTTTTGAGATATAAATGAAACGTATTTTGTAATTTCTGCTTTTTTAAAGATGGCCTTATTTCAGGAAGTAAACCTAGTAGTTGACAGTGATAAATTTTATATTTATTATAGTGTATATACTAGTGATCTGCAGCGGGACTTAAGCCCAACCCGAAATATAAAAAAATATCAGAGAGACCTACAAGCCTGGCCCGGGTACACAGGCCGGGCCATAATTTAAATTTTTTAATAAAAAAATATCCGGGCCGAGCCATATTTTAAAACAAAATATTTTAAATCGCCATTATTAACTATAAAAATCAAAAATAAATAAAATATTTTTAAAAACCCGGGCTAGGCCCAAAATAATTTTTTGAAGAAAAAATACGCGCCCCGGGCTGTACAAATAGTACCTCTGCAGGTCTCTGAAAAATATTCTATAAATAAAATATATTAGCACCTGTTTCTTTCAAGAATTTTAAAATATAACAATTTAGTTGACAAAATGTAATAATATCATATTTAAAAATTTAAGTCAGGCCCGAAATTTTTTTATAAAATATTAGGCTTGAACCTAAATTATTTTAAAAAATAAGCCTAGCCTGGATTTATCATTTTTAATTTTATTAGCCCTGAAGAAGTTGAATCTTTGATTATCGGAAAGTTGGCCCTTAAATATGGAGGCAAGGATCTCGAGGCTCTCAAAGCTATAGCGGGCGCTAACAAAAACAGATCTCTTTCACTCTTTCAACAAGTGAATCAATTCATTTTTTTTCAGTCATCATGATTTAGTTCGTGAAAATAATATTTCCCATATTTGTTGGTTTTGTAGTAATGTTTTTTTACTAAAATAGGCAAGAGAAACCTATAGATCCGAATTAATGGACGATCCTATCATTAAAATGTTACTCGAAACACTCTACGATAAATTGCTGGAACAAAATTTGTTGAGAATCATAGAACCTTACTCTAGGATTCAAATTCACTATGTAGCTGAATCAATTAAGCTTCCCCTGGTAAAATATTATTAATATATTGAATTCCTCTTTAACCTTCATATTTCTTCATTACTTTAAGAAATTAAAAGGCTTAAAAAAGAACTAAAATATAATTTTACTTAAATAATTGAGATAAATTGTATAAAATATTTTTAGGAATTTTAATATAATTTAAAATGAGGACAAAAAATATATAAATTATAGATGGTGTGTAGTATATGTTTTTATTTGATGATTTCTTCATCTTATTTTATTTTTTAATCAATAATACAATTAAATAATTCTCAGGATGTCGTCGAAAAAAAGCTATCTCAAATGATTTTGGATCAAAAATTTAATGGTAAAATCAACCAGCATGTTTTTTATATGATTTATATAATATAGACATAGAAATTTCCGAAAGGGCCTTGTTAAGATTTTTTAAAAAAGGTTGTTTTTTTTTGAACTGTAATTTTTTTAAGCCCGGTCTATTATGTAAGAATATTTTGCAAACGAAAATATAATGATTTGCTTCATTCTAAGTAATGGCTTTAAAAACCTTGATTTTCGTCCTTTTAAAAAAAAATCGACTAAATTTAAGTTCTCAACAATGTTAGTTTTTTTTAAAAAAAAATTGTGAACCCTGCTTGACAGGTACTATAGATCTTTAATACAATATGCAATAATGCAATACAATTTTGGATATAACAAGGAGACAATGTAAACAGTTTTTAATGAGTTGGATCAAAATGTAAATAAATAATCCGCATGATTTTTATAAGTTATTATTTCAATGATTTTTCTACATTCTATTTAGGCATAATAGATCAAAGCGATGGTGGCATTCTGATCGTTTTCGAAGAAGAGACACCGAATCGAACTTTCGACACCTCAATAAATATCATAGAATGCATGAGTAAAGTCATGGATACTCTTTACATTAAATCCAAAAAATTGTCTTAAAATTAGATATACAATATTTAAATTTTTAATTTTTTTTTCATGACTATTGTATTGTATCAATAATGCTTTTTTTTCTTTCGATATTTATTATATCATATATTCATTTACTAATAAAAAAAATAAAGATTTATTTATAAGAACGTGTATTTAAGAGTATATATCACTATTGTTGGAATGAAAATATATAGTAAGCTAGCGAGTTAATAAAAATAGTGGGTATTTTATTTACGCAAAAATATATAGTGTTTATTTCATTTCGTGTCTCAATTTGAATAATTAAATTATATGCCATGAGTCTTGCTTTCTATGTAACAGATTGAAAGAACTATTGAAATATATTTGGAATAAATAGATTTAATAATGTGAAACTATTTAATTTATAGAATTTATGATCATTTAGCAAAATAAAAAATAGCGGGGTCCGATTTGGAATCATAGGGAAGGACCGAGGTTGAATATAAGATTCTGGGTAGATGTAAAAATATAGTGGTATTCATTTTTTTTAAAAAGATGGGATGAAGAAAATAAAAAAAATTGTATATAAATTTTATAAGCTAAAACGTACCCCATCAAAACATGCCCCAGTTCCTAACAATTAATTGAAATTCAATTATAAAAAAATCTTTTTCTAAAATTTAATAATATTTTGTCGTAGAAATATACATAAATATTTAATCCTTCAATATTCTACTGGGTTTCATAGGACCTCAGGTATGCTAGAATTGATATTACATAAAAAAAAATTAATAAGGCTAACCATATATAGTCCATAATAGATTGAGGGACTGTGGAAATAAGAAGTAACTTATCAAAATAATTTAAACATTGTTTTATTTTTATATATTTATGGTAGAAATTGATATCCAAGAAAATAATAAAAATTATACATTGAAATTTATCAGTCAACAAGCAAGGGTTTTTTAGCCTTATTTGGGCTTTTTTCTTTTATTTCCTATAGGTATGTCTTTTGCTGCCGGGGGTAGTTTAGGATATATCTTGATTGACTTATAATCCAATGAAAAAAAGTTAAAATGTATCAAAATAAGCTATAGAATAAGTAAATGCAATTACCGATGAGTGACTAAGCATCCTTTTATTAATCGGGAAGGAAAAAAATTATCATTCAATTCAAGATGAATATAGATTCAAAGTTTTCTGACATTTTTTTGTCCAATAAAATTTTATTCAAACTTTTTAGTTAGCTAGAACTAATTAAACAAATATAAAGGGGTTCTTCAAAATTTTAAACGTGCTCGAGTCCTCTATAGCCCTTCCTTAATGATCTTCGAATTTCAGGGCAAACTTGCATGATTAATCCATTAAAGCTTTTTTATATCTGGGCTCTATAAAATTTTCTCTATTTAAAAAGCATGATGGTTCAGTCCTGTCTTAATCAGAGCTCAATCTTGCCCCACCCCTGCAAGAGATATTTTATTAGCTTCCCTTCCACATTGATGGTTGGAGTGTCTTTTACCCCTTTAGTTCTTATTTCTTATCCGGATTGTAATCTCATCAAAATCCGAACCGTTATTTATAACGGTTCAGTTTGGTTACGTTTCAGTATGTAAAAATTATAATGGCTATGTTTTAGTTACTGTTTTTAAGAAAAAATTTATAAAGGTTCGGTTCGGTTTAGCTAATTATAAATCATTACGGTTAGAAATTTTTTTTTATTGAAGCAACACCATCTTCTAATTTATTTTTATTATAAGCATCTATGAATTTATATATAAAAAATAATATAAGATTCAAAATAATTCATTTTTAAATAAATTATTTGAACGTATAAATAATATATTTTCTAATATAAATGGATTCCTTTTTGTTCGTTGTGACGATAACACAAATTTTAGCTCCGAAAAGGCCTTTTCTACATAAACTTGTGTTGCGGGAACCGCCAGTACTATAAGAGCAAGGGTATATAATTTTCAATTATTTTTATTTCTAAAATATAAAAATTGAACCGATTTAACTTTCTTTTATAAAGGTTCTATTTCCTTCAAATTTATATCGGTTCGGTTACGGTTATGGTTAGATCTTTATAACGGTTTATAATGGTTTCACGGTTTGTTACGGTTCACTCCGGGTCCCTGAATTTCATGAGTCATGACACCATGTTTTATTTTAATAATGTGATTATTTACGCCTAATTAACAATTATTCCCATATGATTATGTAATATTAAGTGTTTAGCCCTATATGTTGTGTTGTGAATATTGGAGTATATATTTCTTGAAAACTATCAAACTATAAGAAAATAATTATGAAAGGAACCGTCCACAATTTTAAAGCAAGCATAGTTACCTGTAGACACAAGGAGACTAGTCTTGTTTAAAAATTTATGTGAAGTAAAAATATAGGAAAAATAGGTATTCAATTAAAGAAAATGTTTTGATTAGAGAAACGTATGGTTAGTGTATTGTACCTAAAAATTGTTAACAGAATCTTAAAATATATTGAAGATTTTTAAAAAGAAAAATTTTCTATTTAAAAACATTATATATCTCTTATCAAAAAATGACATATCATTCATTGAACAAAATTGGGTTAAACCAAGTCATTTTTACTTTAGTTTATCATCTGTTTTCATTCATGCATAATGTCACGACACAAAAATTTCAGAGGAAAAAAGTTCGAAGCTGGTAAACATATCTTCTAACTTATACAATTAAAATTTTTCCCTAGAAGAGGATGACTACGATGATGATTACGATGATTATGAATATTCGGTTTCGCCAGATGCAAGTAAAAACCTAAATCAAATAAATTACTTAAATTTTAAAGGTAATGATTTCCTAAATCCCCAATCAATTAAAATACCACTGTCTTCCTTTGAAAAGCATCCTGTTATTGCTGACAAAACACCTGAGAATGATAGTAAATCAAATTTTAATTGAAATTATTTAATGAGAAATATAAAATATTAGTGGTTAAATATGTTATTATATTTTATACATTTGTAATTTAGCCTGTCTCAATTCATGTTTAGACAGCATTAAAGATTTAATTGGGGATGCTGTATCAGATAACATAATTAAAAATGAAATCATCAAGTGTAAATATGATATAGAGATGACACTTGATCATTTATTGCAGAATCAAAGTAATTCAATTTTTTTAAATTATATTCTAGATATATATATAAAGTTAATTTTTATTATGGGCCATTATAATCAATTTTTAAATGTGTTTAATTATTATTAAGTCCTTAATTTGATATAATGATATGAATATTTTTGATAGGTAAATCTCTTGAAACAACATTTAATCCTAGTGAAATATGTACTAGCATTCCTTTTACTATATACTAAGTTTTTATAATTCATAATTAAATAAAAATTGAGGATTTCCAATTTAATTGATTCTTTTTTTATCAATGAAAATCATTATATTATTTTATGTACATTTGTTCTAACTCACTTTCACATTTAAATATTTTTTCATTTTTTATATGTTAGCCTTAAAAAAAGGTAACCCTATTATCGCAACTGATGGTAATAACAATAAAATCCTGAAAAATAAACCAGTTTTGATTCAAAAATTTTCAAGCATTATTGATAATAAATCCAAAATACCACTTTTAAGCCAATCAAGGTCTCCACCAAATAAAATGGCACCTCAATCTTTAATATCAACAAATTTAACTAAGGACACATTGGCTAATTATTTAAAATCGAATAATCCACCCTCTCTCCCACCTAAGGACATGCTTGATAATGTGAGTCAAAATAAATTGAAGACTATTAAATTTATTGATAAGCTTCCTTCTTTTACTTCTAAAAACTTTAATTCCTCGCCATCAAATGCCATGAAACAACCCATTATTTTGCATACACCTCGAGCAAATTTTAAACCCTTGTTACCTTCCTTTTCCTCTAAACGTGACATTTTGTTTAAAAAAGACACCTCCGCGAAAGTCGAAACCTCGCCCAAAATATGTCCAACTTCGACAAACACCTCTCATTTTGAATCTCGAATTCCGGTATTCGGAGAAGCGGATACACCAATATCCACGAAATTTGATGAAAATGCACAAAAGAATGTCGATACATTAGAAGAACTCCAAATAACTCCGCTAAAAACCCGGATCAGCGATCAAAGAAATCTTTCATACTTGAATAACGTACACGATTTTAATTATTCGGATAATGGCACTGGACCGAATCTTGATTCGAACGAACCTCTCACCGATCTCGGTAATTATGCCACAACAAAGGGGGAGGCATCCACATTTAGCCGAATCCTGTCAAGTCCTTCCAACAATTTGAATAGTGGGTTAAGTCTCAGTAAGTCTAACATGACTCTTTCACCTTCGAATAACGTTCCAGAAATTTTCGGAGCTTTGAATAAAGTTGATTTATCAAATACATTTATTGGAAACATTCCTTATGAATTACCTATCAAGGATAACGATTTTAATCACATATTGATTCCTTGGCTCCTAGATTTGCTCCGTCCCAATCTCGACAAATATTCATATCTTGGTGAGTTTTAAAAATATGGTTTTAAAAAAAATTCGTGACGCGATAATAGGGTTTAATTTTTTTTTTCAAGGTTTTATAATTTAACAAAGAACATTTTTTTAATTAAGCATTTACAGCAAATTTTCGTTCATTTTCAGAAAAGCTGCGAGGAAACCCTTATTTTCCCCTCACTCCCATTTTGACCCCGAATTACGAGTGAATTCTATTCCTTAAATAATAATACATTTAAACAGGCCAGAGCTTTGTGAGTATTTTAAAAAAATACGCCATTGCTTTAGTCTTACGCCATCCATTCCGGACCGTTTTTAGTGTTTGAGGCTGGATTCATAGTGGGATCCGATCCAACATGATTTAACACTCTTAAGTGATTTTAAAAATCATTTATCAAGATAAATTTTTTTAAAATCGATAATTCATAGATTATTATGAAATAGAATTAAAAAATAAAATTATATTAATAAAGAAAAAGATTGATCTCATAAAACAGATTTTAAAAATTGACATATCGAACCCCACTATTTATTTGATAATTTTTTTGATGATTCGAAATTTATGAATACGAATAACAAATTTTTGGATTCGAAGTGAATACGAATTATAATTTGAGAATAAAATTATAATTGAATATCATATATTTTAGTAAATATTTGAATTATTTACCAATATCGATAATCAAATTTTTTTTAAATTAAAGCTACCCCTAATCAAATATTTTATTTTATTTTTTGGCACTTGCAATATTAATTTTTTTTAATATAATAAAAGTGACTTCTTGTTTTAAAATTTCCTAAAAAAACAAATTTATAACTTTTGTTTACGTCTTTTGAGTGCCTATTATTATTTTTACACACATTGAATACCCAAAATGGCATGTCTCCAAGGCCTCATTTATAGTAAACGCGTTATGTTCAAGCTGTGCTTATTTAATGCGTTATTTACAAAATCTAGCCAATAAATAAGTTTCTCTTAAAAAGGCTTGTCACATTTTGTCATATTTTGTGACAAAGTATAACAATATCCGGATTTAAATCGAACTTACGACTAAATATGATAATTGAAAATTTGTCGCAGCAGCTTAGCGTTATGCCTTCAGGGGTTTTCTAATTTAATTGTTATTTATCTATAATCAACACAAAATAGCGATATGGGAATCAAATGAAATCTAATATATCTTTTGACATTCACTTTTGGTCTTAGTGGATTGAACTTGTTCTATGGAAGAGGGGGATAAAAATTTGATATGGACATCAGAGATTTGCTGGCACTGCCCGAGTACACCGGCCGGGCCGTATTTTAATTTTTCTTAAATATAACTGGGCTGGGCCGGGCCTAAATTTTTTAAATAACCGGGCCGGGCCTGAAAAATTATTAGAAAAATCCCCAGGTCGGGCCATATATTTTAAAGTGTCTGATATAAAAATAAATAATATTATATATTTTAAAAAAAAATCCTGGCCGGGTCGACAAAAATTTTTGAAAAAAAAATCCGAGTCATGCCGTGCAAATGGTACCACTGCAGGTCTCTGATGGATATCAAATAAAAGGTATTTAAAATATCTTTTGATTATAATTATCACCCTAAGTGGGCCGATCTGAGTCTTGGGGGGTCAGAAATATTTTGATCAACACAAGATATTAATAGAGAGATATCAAATTAAAGCAAATTAAGAAATATTTTGACTCAAATAATAGTAGTATTCACTCTAGTGTTTGTAAACCGCTAGTTTTGAGCCGATTTTTAAAAACGGCTATCTATGTTTTATCCAGAAAAATATTACGCAAGCCTGAAGATTTTGCTCATAGATGGTACAAAGGTCCAGACTTATATTATCAAAATCTCGAGGCTTTTTTCTGGCTAAAATATTGAGTTAGCCGTTTTAAAAAACAGGCAAAACGAGCCGTTTAACAACACTAATTCACTTTAGGTCATAATGAATTGGACCTAGGTCTGGAGGAGGGGGGGGGGCGGAGGGATAAAAAAGTATCTGGATATGGGTATCAAATAAGAGGTAACATCCATCATCAGATTAAGGATACAATTCTCCCGTCATTCTTGACGAGCTATCTACTAGTTATTTACTAATACGGAGCGTTTTGATGATAACGCTATGATAAAATTTGTAAAACATATGCTGCGGCGTATATTTCAAAAATTGATAACGCTATGAAGAATCAACTGGTTAAATGGCGCAACGCTTGAACATAACATAACATATTGCCTAAAAGAAGAAACAGTTATGATTTGCTAAAATGCTCAATAAAAATTATGCACTAAATTGAAATATCTGAAGAGTATAATTATTTTTTATTTAAAAAAAATCGAATTATTATTTATTCTTATTGCGAATTCCAAAACGAATACCGAATTATTGGATTCGATTATTCTTTTCAATTTTTTGGCCTTAAAAATAGAAACGTGCGATATATGAGATATGGCACGTCGATTTGGCTTCATGGAGCGTATGGCTTCTAACATAAAAACCATTCCTAAACTTATATTTTTTTATCCCCTACCCAGATCCGAGTTTGAACAAGAAAGGTCGCAAGAACAATCCCAAAAAGGCTCCTAAAAAGTTTTACATTTTTCAAATTTCATTTTTAAAAAAAATAAACAATTTTTTGCTTTTAACACTTCCTCGTTTTTTTTAAATTTATTGATGACTTTTGTGTTGTACTTTATACCCAGAACCTGCAGAGGACAAAATTTAATTTTCGCCGAATTTTAAAAAAATTCCGGTTCAAGCCCGGCCCGGATTTTTATTTTTGATTATTTTGCGTCCTCGCCCGAGTTTGAATAATTTAGTTGTGTTTTGCAAAGGGTAATTTGTGAATATGAGCTGGAAACGAATATTACGTTTTATCATATGATTTTTCAACTGGAGTCATTTGATATAAAAAAAATTTTGATCGGCATTGCCCAGATCTTTAAACCTTTTTTAAGCCCAGCCCAGGTTTTTAAATGTCATTTTTTGGTCTTTTCGGACCGGGTTCATTTTTTCATGATACGCATCGTAGAGCTCTGCAGTCGGACGCAGGCCTAAAATTTTGGGTCTTGCTTGGGGTTAATAAATCTGGAGTTAGGACAAACCAATTTATTATTGTTTTTTAAAACTTCTATAAAAAAGTTAGAGTTTATATTTAGAGCTTACTGCCGATAAAATGAATATCCAGGGCTGGTCAACCCCATGATTTCCTATTTCAAAATAAATGTATATTGATAATTTACCATAAACATAAGACCATAACTCTAATTTGAATATACTTTGATATTAATTTCATATTCTATATAGTCGCTATATAAAAAAAATCTTAATTTTTCTTGCCTGAATGCAAGTTAGAGGTATTTGCCTATATTATAGCTTACTAACAGCATAACAACTGATAATAGAACTCATCATTAACTCTTTAAAACCTAACTAAAATAAACCAAATTCTATTTTACAGTTTAGGAGAAGAATAAAATGATGATACAATTTGGCATCACTGAGCGTAATGTAATACATATGCAAAAATATATACTTATTATTGGATGAGGGATCTTGGATTTCTAATATCATAAATATGATCGAATTCTTTATCTTCAATTTTCTTTTTGCAATCTATATGTAATGGAAGTTATATATCATCAAGCAAGACTTTGAGAATTAAAAGTGTTAATCATTTGACCTAAAATCCAAAAAGAAAAATGCGAAAAATTAAAATTTTATAAAATAAAGACATATATTAGTTGTAAAAAATACGATTGTATTTTTATATTATGTCTAATTAAATCAAGGTTCCTGACAGGGTTAATTTCCTTAAATAGTAGATAAATTTCCAATAAAAACACCTTTTTTCACTAACAGCGAAAATCTCGATAGAAGCCAACTCTTGACTTCGTCATTAGATGCGGGTATGTCGAATTTAAACATAGTGTCTCCTATTCCCACAACGCCATCTAAAAAAATAGGAAAAAATCCGCGAAAGGAGGACTCCAAGGAAGTCAAAGATGGAAGCAAGATTGCTAAAGATCTAGTCCCCGAACCAGAAAAGGTTTTAAACTCGAGCCCAGTGGAATATAGGCTGGATGCCAAGGAGTTGGAGATGTTGGAGGAAGCGAAAAAATGTCGAAAAATGGAAGGCAATAGCGTTATCAACGTTGTTACATTAGGTTTTTTTAAAACTTTCGACAATTTTTTTTAAAACAATTACTGCTTATTTTAATATACTTCAATTTATTTATTAAAACACACTAATAAGGTCACGTGGACGCCGGAAAAAGTACCCTAATAGGCCATTTGCTCTGCTTGAAGGGTAATATTAGCCAGAGAACTATGCATAAAAACGAAGTGGAATCCAAGAAAGTCGGTAAAGGATCTTTCGCTTACGCGTGGGTACTAGACGAAACAGGGGAAGAAAGGTATTTTAATTTTTACAATCTAAAAAAATGTAATAGGATTGAAAGGGTTTTTTTATTTTAAATAAAGGATAAAAATTGAATGAGAAAGAATTATTAGAAAAGATTAGAAAATTTTTTAAAATGTTTTTCTCGCTCTCATTAATATTACTACCAAGGCTCGGAAAATTTTTAATTTAATTCAAAAATATAATTGTTTTTGGTTCAAGCCCTTATATATTATTGTGTTATATTTAGATCTAGGGGCATCACCATGGATGTCAGTCACAGATGCTTGAAATTGAAAAATGTTACCGTGAATCTTATAGACTCTCCTGGCCATAAGGATTTTATCCCTAACATGATAACAGGTTTGAAAATGTCGAAAGTGGGTTTAATTTTATGGAAGGGTGTGTAGAATTTACGTTTTAAATGTTGGTAACTTCTTTTTTTTACTTTTTATTTAAAGGGAATTTTATAAGATTTTCAAATTTAATTTTTGTCACCTATAGAATATGTCCAGTTGGATCCTTATCAAATATTATGTCAAATTGGTTAAAGTAAATATTATTAGTAGAAAGTTTCAAGTTTTCTTTAAAGGTAATTTAGTAAATTCCTAAATTTAAGCTTTTTCCCTAATAAATCATTTGATGTTTTACGTTTTTTAAAAATTTTTCTCTGATTTGAAAAAAAAAAATTTGTTATTTAAAATAGTATGAAATTACAGATATTTAAATATTTAAAAATGGTTAATTTTTGCTTGATTATCAAAATATATTATTTTTATTTTTTTATGATTTTTCCATTTAAAAATAAAATATTTTTTGGGTCTAATGATGATGATAATTGTTTCCATATTATTCTACAACCTGGCAAACATTTTAAAATGCACTATTTTTCTTTCCAAAAGTGAAAAAAAATCTTATAAATACCAAGTGGCAAAGCAAAATAATTGGTCAATTTATTTCGTAGCCGCATTTACGCAAAAAAAATAAAAGGTGACAATTTAGAAACTTTGATAAAAACGCAAACTGGTTTGCTTTTTTTTCGAAAATCATTTAGGTTGCACTATAAGACAAAGTCCAACATATAAATTATTTAATTTTTAAAACCAAGGATTTTTTTTCTAAACGCGTTCCCGAACATTTAGAATCGTGGAACGATGCACAATTTGTTGACTGGTACAGGAACATAAGAATATCATTCTTCCAGTTTCCTGTTTTATATGTTTGTACTCTGGAAATCTCATCAGCTACAGATACATGGGTAAGGACTAGGGTGAAGGGATTTGATTTATCGAGAAAAAGATGCATTTTTCAAAAAAAAGTTGATATAGAACATTATAAAACTCAGGAGACGATATTTCGACTAAAATATTTTTTTATTAAGGACTATTTACTGACACCGGTTACCGGTATTGTGAGTTGAATTTTATACTGATTAGGCGCCTATTTAATAATGAATACTTATCCAATAATAAATTATTCTTATTCAATTATTTTGAACGAATTGGTTATTTTACTATTCGTACATACGAATAGTCGTTTTAGAATAGGTTTAATGCTAATGCTTTGAACTAATTTAAGATTGTATGTCGTTCAAAATTATCCAAATCGTGCATTTTACCGGTGGGTAAAACCTTTTTTAAAATCTTATTGAAAATTTTGAACATCTTACAAATTTCGCAAGAATTAAATTGACATTTCGACCAAAAATAATATAATTATTATTTTAAAAAAAAAGATCACCTTACAAAGGAGAAATATTTAAAGAGAAAATTTATTCCTTTTTTAAAAAATTATCATTTATATTTTTATGAGAAGATATTAAGAATAATTTATTTTTCACCTAAAAACATAAACTAAATGATCATTTAAAATTTTTTTTTTAATTAGGCGCCTCACAAGCCGATGCTGCCATTTTAGTGATAGACGCTACTAAAGGCGAATTCGAAACTGGATTTTTAAGCGGGGGTCAAACTCGGGAACATGCCATCTTAGCTAGATCTTTAGGTATAACTTGTTTTGTCTTTAAAACGTAAAAAAATGACAATTGAATTGTTAACTAATTTTTTACAAAACTAAACTTACTATTTATAAAATATATATGCCTCTTTGTAGATATAATTATATTATTTTGATTTCATTACTCAATAAAAATAAGTTCATTTTGATATTGAAAACCAAAAGTTTTTAATATAATTTGATTATTATTTTCAAGTTTTGGCTACATTTCGGATGATAACATTTGTAATATTTACGATTTGATTACATTCCGGCTTCATCATTATTTCGGTTTTCATTTCTACCGGTTAATTTCGGTTTTAATTATTTTTTATAAGTGTGATAGAGCCATGTATTTGATCCGAAACCGGGATCGGGCTTTTAAAAAATTAAAACCAGTAGCTTAAAAAATCTTCCTTTATTAAAATAAAAATATAATGAGAATTTCCCTGAGATTAGAACAAAGAAAATTTATAAAATAATTTTATAAAATTTGCTATCTTTTTCAATAATAACCTTTTTTAGTAATGCTTTTACCTTGACACCGTTACTTTAAAAAAAAATAACTTAGACCTAACTGAATAACGTCGATAGCAGTAAAAATACATTTAAAATACTTTTTTTAATAGTTTGACATCGATTTAAAATTTTGAACCGGCTCATTTCGTTCCTTAAATATTTTCCATTCCGGTTTTTCCGGTGTTTCAAAATATGGCCATTTGTTCAGGTTTCGGGATATGCACGAATATTTAAAAATAACTATTACTGAAATTCGATGCTTACGTTAGTTGTCATCACATTGAAATCATAACCAGATCGGTTTGCATGAAATAATTAGGACCGTAAATATTCCTATATAACACATATATATATTGACTAAATAAAGTTTTAGCGTTTACTCGCTACAAATGTTTTTAAGCCTAAGGTTTTATATGCCACACAAAGTTCTTTTATATACCACACAGTTTTTTTAAAAATTCCCCAAAGTACTTTTATATACCACAAAGTTTTTTTTTAAATAAGCCACACAGCCACAAAGTTTTTTTTATCAATCACAAAGTTCTTTTAAATACCACAAAGTTTTTTTTTATTCCACACAGCCACAAAGTACTTTTATATACCACAAAGTTTTTTCTTTTAAATTCCACACAGCCACAAAGCTCTTTTTATTTTAAATTTCACGTTTTCCCTTTTTTTTTATAAAGTTTCCCTAACAAACTGGAAAAAAAGGTAGGCTTGATTTTTTTTTAAAATGAATAACTTTCCATCTATCTTCACTTTTTGAAATTTTATGAGAACATTATCTTCAAAAAAATGGAATACCTGTTTTTTTTAAGGGGTATCTCAATTGATAGTGGCCGTAAACAAGATGGACACTCTGGCACGTCATAATGTCGAAAGATTCTCCCAAATTTTGCTGCAGATGACCCCATTTTTGCGGCAGTGCGGATTTAAGGATAGCGCCATTTCTTTTGTTCCCGTATCGGGGCTGGTCGGAACAAACCTCATTGAAACGCCCAAGGATACCGACGACGATATAAAGTTTTTGGCTCTGTGTCGCCAGACCGGAACCCTTGTGGATCGATTGGGTATTCTTTTAAATATTTCTTTTAATATATCACTATTTTAATGATAGAGATACTGAATAGAAATTTTGACATTTTTAATGTTCATATACGCATCTGATAAAGCTAAGTTGTTTGGCTACCACCGCATTCTATAAAATTATTAACTAAAGAAAAAGTTTATTTTTATTCTCAAAAATACAGCTTTCCATTTTGTTTCAATATTATAAAATTTATAATAAACAATTATTTTATTTAGTTTAAAAATAAAATAGAAAGCTGGGAAAAAAATTAGGCAAGAAAAATAAAAATACTTCTAATTAGGGGTGTACCGATACCACTTTTTGGTTGCCGATCCAATATTCCCAATATTAAATTGATATCGGCCGATTCCGATCCGATATCATATCTAATTTTGTATTCCATAAAGATACCAATGGTTTTAATTTTTAATATACTTTTATTAGTATAACATCTATAATTTAACTATACCATAACTTATGTCATTTAAATATATTATAATGATCAGTTATAGTTTATATTCAATTCAATTCAATAAAATATTTTTATTGTTAAATCACTTTTATATAAGTAATACATTAATCTATATACATAATAAGTAAAATAAACAAATATATATAAAATTCGAAATAAATATTTAAAATAATATTTAACATTAATATCAAAGATTTCTTTTTAGAAATACTAAAATTTTTCAATATATCAGAGGTCAGCCTGCGGCGATGGTAACTATCAATATCACCAGCTTCACTAAAACTGATTCTGAAGAGATTATCGCTCACCTTTATAAACAGATTGTCCCAAAAAAATAACAATATGACAGAATGTTTATTAATTAATTAATTATTATTAAAAAATATTACGTAAAAATTGATTTCGATTTTATTTATAAAAATAAATGATTTTAGATATAACTTTTAAAAAAAATTTTATAACATTTTATTTTTGTTAAAAACGCCATTTTATATCGGATCGGATCGGATCGGAAAATTTATAATATTGGCCGATAACCGATATTTTAAAATGGGTGAAATATCAGCCCGATCCGATCCGATAAAAAATGATTAAAGAATTACATTGTGACTTTTTTTATCTCGAATAGGGTGAATGCCCTAATTTTTTCGCTCAATTGATACACACCCTAATCTTGTTAATATTTTTTTTAATAAATGGTTCTGCACACGTGATAAAGTCAATATAACAACTAATCTAATTTTTTATGTTTAAATTATATTCTAAGAATCCTTGAATATTCCTGAAAGGCGTTTGGATTACCCGTTGAGATTCGTCATCAGCGATTCTTATAAATCCCCCATCGGTTCTGGCTTTTGTCTTTTCGGACATTTGGAAACTGGTTTATTATTTTCATTCTTATTAAATATAAATACCACTGATTTATGGAATAAAATATTGTAAATAGGGGATATAGGATTCATTTAGTGAAAGTCACGAAGAATAAGACCCGCCTTTCTGATCTCATCAGTCTGTTTTTTTTATATATTCGGTCATGTTCCGATCTTTGACATTAACTATTCATATCGAATTGCTTTCAATCATATTTAATTTACTATCCTTAAAATTTCATGACAAAATGTTTCGAGTTATAAAACATGGAAGTAGGAAATAATGTTAACATTTAAATAAGGGTAAAAAAATTGTTAAATTCATTTTTTTTTGAAAAAATAAAATTATTAATATTTTAGGCTTCATGAATATCGGCGGAATCAAGGGTTCTTCCAAAAATAACGCCAAGTATGTGATTTTACCCGCGAACGAAATTGTGACCATTAAAAGTTCAAAACTTTTTAAATTAAAATTAGTTTCCTTCTACAACTTGCTTATATTTAACTATTCGCATATAAAACAGACATAAAATTAGGCGAAACAGATGTTCATTTGATCTTAGCAGGAGATCATGTAACGCTAACAGTAATGGGGGGTCCCGAACTGCCGCTGAAACTAGTTTCTAATGCCTGTCAAATCCTCACACCCATCAATCAACCTATACCTTTGGCAAATGTAATCCTGGCGAAGATCTTGGTTTTTGACGTTTCATCATCGCATGACCAAGATAAATCGGACGGGTTTTATAACAATTTTACGAATAACTGCCCATCCATTTATTCTCCTATCACGTTGGGATTCGAAGTTTATTAATATTTCTAAAGCGTTTTCTATTTTATGTATCTGAATTATTCTTTTCTAAAAAAAAATTATATCTTCAATGGGTTATTTGTAATCTAAAGCTTATAAACTTTAATTCTATGCCTTTTGATGATACACCATAATCTAAAAGTTCTACATTCCTCTTGAATTCAGAGTATCTTTATGCATTCCGCTATGTCTTAAAAATAATATTTTATTATTTATCGAAGGTGAAAGAAATGTTAATATCATTTAAATTATTATTACATATTTAATTCAAAACTAAAGATGCATCCCATATAGATACCAAGTCCGGTAACTTAACTTTTGACCAAGGTATGTAAATTTTTGAAAAAAGAGAACCGAACCGGTATAAATGGTTTTCCGGTTCATACCGGTTTTTGAAATTATAAATGTATTTTAAAATGTTTGAAATAATTATTTTTGAAAAATAAATATATACAAATATATGTGATTATGTTTTACTTGATTTAAATGTCTTATTCATATTTTTATTATATAATATAAAATAAAATAAAGAAATTTAACGTATTTTCTTTAAATTTTGTTTAATTTTTTAAAGTTTTAATAATATTTTTATTTATATATTTTTTAAAAAAAAATACATAGCGGAACCGATATAAATTTATTCTTAATCCAATGAGAACTAAATCGGTTAAAGAATCGAAATGGAACTGAACCGTTATATCTATCAGTTTGACAATTTGCTTATAGCCCATGCCACTAGTTGATAACGAGACAATGTTTTTATTGTAAATATATATATAATAAAACCAAAAATTACGTTAAATTTATTATTAAATATGATTATTTAGTCAAATACGCCATCTTGCATAAACGAATTTATATAAAAAATAAAGTTTCAAGAGAACATAAAGAATTAAATAAAATAAATCATTATATAAGAATCGAAAAGAATTTAATAATATTCTTAATAGTAAATTATCACTATTACAGCTAGTGGCCTCTTTAGTAGTGCAAAGGCAAACCCGGGATTTTATTGAACCCAGACCATTTTTTAAATTTTAGGGTTCAAAATTTGTTTTTATTTATTCTCTTAATGATGGTTATTTGAAAGATATCATGGTAATTCACTTATATTAAATTTTTAAAGATCAAATATAATATTTTTTTTAAAATTTATATTGTATTATTATTTTAATTTTATAAGTCCTTATATTTTCTAGAACCCTTTCCTGTCTGTAATGATGTAGTACTATTTGTTGCTTCTCTTTCATATTTAACGCGAAGCACTTTAATTTTAACAATTAGAAAATAATTTTGAGCGCCTCTAAATATTTTCATTTACTTTATATGATGGAAAAAAAAACATTTTTTACAAAAAGAACTCATAATTGATTTTTTTTTAAAAAAAATTAAGGCGGTATTTCATTACCTATCTTTCGCGGAACCTTGCGTTATAACTAAGCTGGTGGCTTTGATCGATAAATCGACCGGTGAATACGTTACTAATGCTATCCAGGATGGGAAAAAAGTTTGATAGCATTTATCGGTTATAAATAAATCATGTCCAATTGAGGAAAAGAATAACTAGAAATAAGCTTAAGGAATGGTAGGAAAATGAATATAAAAATAAAGCCCATACTTTATTAAAGACTAAGAACACTGCAGGGCCAGTGTTTCCATCTAGAGTTTGGAAAGAATTTCCAAATTTTTAAAGATTTTTTAATATTTTACTTAAAAAATGAATCTTTTGATTTTCATACATAAAAAAAATTTTTGAAGATTTTTTTCAAACTCTGTTTCCACCCAATTCAATAATTTGAAATTATTTGATATATTCAATTTTTATTTTAAAAGGCACCTCTTATTTAAGCAAATCATTATTCAGATTCAAATATTTGTTATTAAAAGAAGGCCTATTTGCATCTTGTTCCTCAAATCAAAACAATAAAGATATTATCAAATCAAATATATAAGCTATATATATTTTTAAATAATATTTTCAATAAAAAGCCTAAAGTTAAAAAGCCCAAGTTGGTGAGTAAAGGTGAATCGGCAGAATGCGAGATAACATTTAGTCGGGCAATATGTATAGAGCCATTTTCATCCTTCGGTTGTAAAGAACTTGGAAGGTTCACTCTTAGACAATTTGGTCGGTCGGTTTGCGCCGGAATAGCCATAAAAGTTCAGCAGATTTTTATATACTTAAATGATTAGTTACTTTTAAAATATACACGTTTTATTCATAACCATCTTCGGTTTTAAAGCTCTTTTTTTTAACTCTTTGCAACTGCTTTAGTCTTTGTATTTGCAGCGCGAGCTTGCCAAAATCTTCTATCGAATACATTTAATCTTATGGATCTAAAATCTGGCATTCTTCATTATATTAACTTTTCATTGCAATGCATTTTTTTTAAATATTTTTAGATTCTCAGTTGAAAACAAAAATAGTTCCTCAAAAAAATCTCCGGAAATATTCTGATCAAGAAATTCGATCGATTATTTTATTGCCTCAAATTGTTTCATAATGTAATCCATTATTTAATAATCCAATTCGAATAAAATATTGCATAATTATTTTTTTTTAATTTTATTTGCAAATAAAATTAAATTATTTTGCAAAAATTTGTTAAATGTATAAATATGTTATTTTCATAAATTCTTTGCAAATTAAACAATTTTATCTATAGGGAGGATTAAAGTAATTATCAATGTGTTTCAGAAAATCATCACAACACTATATTATAGTTAACGACCAATGGGATATTAAATTTATATATTTAATTTATTTTGATAAATAATATAATGTGTATGCGAAATAATCGGTTAAATTCAAAAATTAGTGGAGAAATCAGTTTTTTGCATTTTAGAATGCTAATTTCTATTTTATTCCGCGAAATTATATTTTTTTTAATTTTGCATTTCTGGTACCTTAAAAATTAGTGTTAAATGTGGCTTGATTTTTAAAAATACCTAACCCAATATTTTAACCAAAAAATATTACGCAAGACAGGAGATTTTGCTCATTTAGACATCTATTAACGAAATCTCGAGGCTTGCATACTATTTTGGCAAAAATCTTAATTTATAATCGGCTAAATCAAGCAAAAAATTTTGCTAGTTATACTTTTTTTTGAAAAATAGCGGTAAGTTTTAAAAACAGCATTTAAACAGTTTTTTAAAAAATAGATGGATAACTAACTCGATATATAAAGGTTATTTTACTATTATCTTATTTTAGGTATTTTTTGTCAACTCGATATTGAAATTAAGATATCATAAAAAATTGCAATTAAGTTATTAAAAATTGGCAAAGTTACTCATCAAATAAATACAAACAAATTAAAAAGTTTAACAAATTTTTAATACATATACACGATTTATTGAGGCGATTTTTAAATCATATTTGTAAAAATATCATTAGTAACATAAAATAAAAATTCAATATTATAATATATTAATATCTATTATTTTAAAATGTGCATTCAGGAAAACAAATAGTTTTTTTTCATTCTTTATGTTTATGCTTGAGCTAAAATTAAATGGAATAAAAACTCTAAAAAAAATATACATATAATCCTATACAAATAACTTAAAATTTTATTTAACGGAAAAGGAAAAATAGGGAATAAAGAATATAATATGATAGTCCTTAGGATTTGCATATTAAGTAAATAGGCTACTATGAGTAAAACTATGCCCTAACATTTTTCCCCCAACCTTATTTTATTACACAAAAATAAGTAATATGAATTATAAAAAGCCCATGAGATTTTTGGTAAAGATTTTGAAAAAATGATACTGATAAGATTTTCATTATTATTCGATTATATATTTTAATGGAGAAAAAAACGCCTCTATGGTAAAAAATAACTGATTATAAATTGAATGTTTTGAAGGCTATATGGAGGCGACGAAATGTTATTAAGATTAGAGTAATAATAGTATTTAGTACCCAAAAAAATTATAAATGAGGAAGATATGAAAGCTTAAAAATAAGTTCGCGATATTTTAACTAGCCTTTGAAGGTTTAGGAGCGGATAAGCTAGACCAATCGGCAAAACAGACTAATCCGGCACAACCAGCTTTAAACCCGTGATCAATCCCAGATTTCTCTAAACTATCCGAAGTAATTGATATTTTATTTTTGGTTTTAGCCGTCTCCCGGTAATCGTCAATAGTTCCCTTTTCTTCGAAAGAACTGCTAGTTGTGTCATTTCCCTCTTTGTCTAAGCTAAGTATCATTTTAACATGTTCCGTTAATAGGGATAAATGACCGTCAGGATCAAAATTTTGGTTAGAAGGGGTTATAGCGGCTAATGTCGCGCAAAGTTGAGTTAGGTATTCCAGGTTTGGACCGGATATGCCTTGACATTGAACTATCTGACGGGCGATGAAATTTGGCGGGGCTGGGCCAAGGTAATGATCGTTGGTCTCGTCGGCTATATAGGCCTCAACTTGTATGATATCCTATGCAGGAAAATAAGTAGGGGCAAAAATAATCAAACTTGATTAATAAAAATTAATGTTAACTTTTGCTTCCCTTTCTTTAATCCCCCCCCCTATTACGTTTGGAAAAGTTGAACTTAACTCTCAAGTCTAAATACTATATTTTTTATTTTTTACAATTTTTATGGATAGTAAAGCAAGTTTTTTATATTTAAAAAATAAACAGGATTTACATGATTTATGTTTTAAATTGGCCAAAAGACAAAATCAAGTTATTAATTCGCCTTTTTAAATTCGGATAAACCAACATAAAAAAATTGTAAAACAATTCATTGATGTTAAAAGTCGATATTAAAACAATTATTTGATCTAATAAATATTAGTTAGATCAGGAATCCAAACCTAAGCTTAAAACCGGCATTTTTTATCGAGTCTGAACGGTTAAAATGTCCGTGAACCGAACCTCGTGATTTTGTGCTTATAAAATATTGTTTCCAAAATTATTATCAATCAATTTTGGTTGATAACAGTCACAATTTTTACAAACTTTAGCAAATTGCCATATTATAACATTTTTTTGGCTTATAATGCCTAGGGATAAATTGAATTCCAATATATCAAATTATTTACATATAGTATTATAAATCACAAATAAAAATGTAATATTTTTGTATACAAAACTATCAACCAGTTTTTGAACAGTTATTTTTATTTGAACTGGTAAAGTTTTATTAATGCAAACATAATTTATCATCCATCATGTGATTGAATAGACAACCTTTTATTCAGATAAAATAAAGGTTTCGCATTTGTTAAGTTTTACAGTCTCAAAGTTGCCCCCTTTGCCTTAAGTGATTTTTAAAGCTTCGATAATCTTAGCTATCGAAGTACATTCTTGATTACCCTTAGTTTAACCGTGTAAGAAATTATTCATGACAATCGTTTCCGCATATGGCAAACCGAGGGAGGAGCATTGGGATTTATAGGTAATTTTAATCGTAGCGATATTTGGAATTGAACTTCTCAAATTCAATACAACCTGTTTGGCAAAAATATTTTTCGCCTATAAACTGAGAATCGGATTCTATAATTAAACCTTAGTTATTAAAGCCAGGATCCGAAATTAGCCGTTAACAATTTTGTCAACCGAATATGAATAGGTTTAAACCATTTGACAAACTAACTGTTTTATTATCATCAATAAATTTTGGTTGATAAATAGCTATTTTACGGTTCCAGCTATTCAAATTGGTATTTAAAATTATTAAAATTATTCTCAATAAAAAATTTCTATTTCTTAATAGATATAATTTGGGAAAATATTTTTTATTGATTTATTTTTTTTAGGAGAACAATTTAAATAATTATTTACTATGGGTTATTAGTTTATAAATACTGTATAATTGTATATGGTGCAATAATAATAATAAAAAACAATCTTTGGTTTTATCATAGGTTTTTGTGTAAATTATTTTGATGAAGTCTAAAGTCGACTAATTAACAACACTACTAAATATATATATTCAAATGACATGAGATTATAATTTTTATCTTTCTTCATATTGTAATTATATTTTTATGTGTTGCACATAGCCGGAATAAATTATTGTAAAACTTTTTAAATATTTTCATGCTTGCCTTACGTTTGCCCCAAATCTCATCAATTAGTGATAAAATAATTCATATATGTGAAACGGTTAAAGGTTCGAACTGATTTTATAAAATTTTTATCGAAGCCTGCCGATATTCAATTCGGGTGCCTAATTAAATTTCCTCCATATCTATTATTTTATCATAATTTGCATAATGTTTCCTCTACTTCATCAAAAGAGATCTATCTATCATATAATCTAATAAGTATTACAAGGTTTACACTCGTTATCCGTGATTAGACATGGTTCAGAGAAAATTCAAGTAAAGAATCATTCATTTTATAATATAAACTGCATTTCGTTACCTTCATACTCCATGAAGATTTCTTTACCTTGTTGATTTGGTGCTTTTTTTCGGTTTCACATACCGAAAACTACCGGCAATGCGCGTAATCCGGCAATACGTGATTTAATAGTTTGTTATAAATTAAAAACGAGTCAATAATAGAGGTTTTTTTTTTATTAGAGATTTATTTTTAATTTTTTTTATATTACTACTACGATCCCTAAGGAAAATATAATCTACCAATATTTTGTTTTAAATTTTTCATTCTCACAAATCTTTCCATGACTTTCTATTTTTTTTTAATTTTAAGTGTTTTAATATTCATATTTATTAAATAATTTTTAAGCACACATTTTTTTTGTTTTTTTTACCCCTATATTATACACATATACTGGAATAAACTTCACAGCAGATCGGTCCTAAGCCAGGCCGCGAAATCAGTTTTTTTTAAATTTAAGGCGCTCAACAAATAATACTGCCATTTTTTTTAAATTTAAAAAATGTGACTTTGCCGAAAATGTATTCCCATGACAATTATCATATGATATTGCAAGAATAATACACGTATAACACGATTACGTAAATCCTGTAAAATATTATTATATTAAATAAAATCATTTATAATAATTTGAATTGAAATGAATTTTTTTTATTTAAAAAAAACAGTCCTAGTTGGTATTATAAAATTATAATGCTTCTTGGAATTCTATAATCTCTATTAAAGATCTGCAAATACCGGCCCGAACCCGGCTTCGGACCTGATATTTTTTTAAAAATTCGGGTAGGGCTTAAATTTTTAAATATGATATCAATCAATTTTGTGAAATAAATTGATATATTTTAAAATTCTAGGGTGCCAATATTTTATTTTTTTTACAATTAAAAAAAAAATTAAATTTTTCTATATTTGGATATTTAGATCAGGTCGAAGGGGATGAATAATTCATATTTCGGGTTGGGCTTTTCCAAATAAGAAAAAAATTTGGTGGTGATCGGGCCAGACAAATTTAAAGAAAAAAAATTTTCGGACCGTGAAAAATTAAGCCCGATGTAGATCACTAATTGCCATATCAATTAAAAGAAAAATTTAATGATTATAATAAAATTTATTATGCCCCTATATTATATAGTTTAATTTTTATTTTAATAATTAAAAAAAAAGAAGGGTTCATTATAAAACCAAGTAATATTTCTTTGTATTGGCAACAACGATTTTTTATTTGACTAATTTATCATTTGTAATATATAACTCCCATTTAAGGTAATAACTGAAAATAATGACTGAGTATATAATAAGAAAATGGTCAGTTAGATGTTACCATAAGAGGGAGGGGTTATGACGCAAGATCGTAATTGAAATTGAAAGTGGGGAAGGGGGGGGGGGGGGGGGGTAAAGAATTATGAAGATGCCATCGTCATTTGAATAAAATCGAAGTGGGATGGGGGGAAATAGTTTTGATTTGGATTTCCACATTTAAAATATAAAGAAAGAAAAGAACTTTAAAATAAATAGAATAATTTACTATCCGTGTTTATACGTTTAATAGAATTTTCTATTCTTATTTGATTGGCATAACTGCGAATAGTAAATTATTCGATTCATATTCATTTTGAATATTTCCTACTGTCGTCGGTATTACGAATCTTTTTTTATCGTTTGGAAAAATTTAAATTATTTAATTCCTAAATAACCCAAATAAAAAATTTTTTTTAAATTTAATCGAAAAAATTCTTTTTATCGATCGTTCTATTTTTATTCAGATTATCACATAAATTTTTTTTGTCAAGGTCCTTAAAAGATAATAAATGATATAAACCTTTTAAAATAATATAGAATTTATGGAATTGATAGATATTTTTATGTCATAAATAAAAATTCACTTCTTGACACGGGACCATAATGTCGCATTCGTTCGAAGAACGGGTATCGGAAACGTTGCGGGTGTTGGGATAAAAGTCTATTTTCTGCTTGGAATACCCATTCTTTTCCCTGTAATCTAGGTATTCTATGACGGAAGAGATGTTTTCTGGGGCAACTTTGAAGGCCGTGCCCCATACTTTGTCCTAGTAATTAATATTAATAAAACGTAAATTAGATATTCGCAAACTCGACTCGCCTGAAAGCCCAACGGCTCGGCGATTATAACGGATTGGACCATTCGTACATAAATAATTTTTTACACGGGCCGAATAATTTATACATAAATAACCAGTTTTCATAAAATTTTAATAGAATAGCTCGGACGTTAAAATTTTTTTGTTTTTGTAATATTCGAAAATAAATTACGAGTTATATTATAAGAGCTGTCTACTAAAATGCTTTTTAAAAAAGTTAGTTATTTATGATATAATCCTATTACAAATATCAGACACAATTGATTTATAAAAAAGGTTGTTGTAGGAAAATAAATAAATAGATAGCCATAGGGAAGAGATATAAGAGCCTTAATTGACATTGGGGGGAGAAAAAAAAATTATATATAGAAATTAAAAATGTAATGGCCGAAAAAATTTTTTAAAAGGCCGGAGGTTAAATTTTTGTGAAATTTTAATAAGACCGAGCTAAGCACTTGTGCGAAAATTCTTAACAGGATCGAGCTTTACAAATCTCTAACATAAATATTGTTTTAAAAATAATGAATTAAACAAGTTTTTTTAAATCTAGGAAAATAATTCCCCGGAAAAAAAAATCCCCGTTTTTTAAGATATTAAAAATTACAAAATTAATAAAATAGGAGAAATAATTCCTTATAAATTTATCAATAATCCTCATATAAAATATTTAAAAATTTTGAGAAAATCAATACCGGGAAATTATTTTTTAGGAATTATTATTGGGGATTTTTTTTCCGGAAAAATTATTTTCCGCTTATTAAGTTTTTTGGCTTTAATTTAATCTATCAATAGTCTATACCAATAAGCTAGAAACTAAAAAGAGCGATGATTTACCCCCTTGCATTCACATTTAGCGCGTATTCCCCGCGAAGTATACAAAATTATGTTTAATGGCTCGATTTTTAAAAACGGCTAACCCAATATTTTAGCCAAGAATATTAGGCAAGCCTGGAGATTTTGCTCGTATAAATGTTTGGACTATTAACGAAATCTCGAAGCTTGTATTTTATTTTTTGTGTTTGTGGCTAAAATATTGGGTTAGTAGTAGCTTTAAAAAATGGAGTCGTTTTAACAACATTACAAAATATTCTGTGTTTTTGCAATATTAAATACCTTCGCCGCCGCGCTAACCTTAAATGCAGAGTTAAGATTTATTACATCATTCTTCCAAGTGGTATCTCCCAGATCAACTTCTCTAAAAAAAAAAAATTTAATTCCCTTTTTAATAAAAAAAAAAATAGATAAAAATGATGAAATTTAATTTGATTTTCTTTTAATCTCAAAAAGATGTATTTTTTTACAAATTAAATAATATTATTTGTTGTTAAACATTTCCAATTATTTGTAACAACTTTCATATAAAATTGTTTAACTTCTTTCATTAAAATTGTTTAACTTCTTTGATATAAAATTGTTTAACTTGCTGCATTGCTTTTAAATTATCTCAATTTATTTTATAAAACTATTATTTTATTTTAAATCGATTTTTGTTTCGTTATTTTAAGAACAATAGCGTTTTTAAGTAGAATTTGGACGACAAAAAAAATGACAATTTGAAAAATAAAAATTTCTCGTATCAATTCGATAAATTCCTAGAATTAAAAAAAAAAGAAGAAGAGATAGAATTAAAATAATAAAAAGAAAAACAAATGAAGAGAGAAAAAAAAGAAAGCAAAAAATAATAATTTGGACAGAGTTTAATCGTTAAATGGGAACCGCCTGAGTACATAATTATTTGGAATATCCAATTCTGAATATACGATGTTTCCAGTTCTTAAATTTATTTTAAAGAAGTTCTACTTCCGTTAGATTTGACGTGGTTACGGATGATTTTGTTAGCGATGACAAAAAAAAGATTTAAACATCTTTCCAAAAATAAATTACACGGCATTCTTTGTCACGTGCTTCCATTATCTATTCAATACCAAATTAATGACATCAAACAATGGTATTGCATTACGTCATTCAATTGACAAATTAAAAAGAAAAATGTCATTAAAATTTATTTTCAAAATATTTGATAAAAGCTGGCAGGCAATCATCTCGTAAAATATTTGATTCATGGGGAAAAAAAAGAGATTATATCCAAAAAAAAATTAATTAAAATTGTTAAATTATTTCAATTAAAAAATTTTTATTCTCTCATCTCCAAATATATACGGACCGGGCAACAAATATTTTTATTTTCGAGTTAGTCCTTACGTGACAAATAAATATTTTTTTCCCCGGGATGGGGCGAGCAAATTCGGGCTTTTGTACAATTCATGTATATGGTCTCTCTTCTCATGGGTATAAAATAATATTTCTCCTTTTACCCAAAAGTCCAAAACCGATTGGCAGTTAAGTTATATTTTAATACATTATTGTTTACGAAAAGTAAATCAAAAAAAAATAGGAGTAGGGGATAAAAAATTATTTTTATTTTATTTTAGACTAATTCCAAAATATCCAAAAATACTCGCAAACTTTTAAAGCTTTTTAGGGAAAAAAAATATAAGCTTTTTTTAATATAAAAATAAAAAACATGCCCAAAATATAATTCATCAAAATTTTAAAACTTCTGAAAGTTTTAAAACAATTCTAATTTTTTTTAAAAGGATTTTGGACAGTCTAAAAGCAGAGTTTGAAACGCTCTAGGCTTATGACCTTCAAAAAAAATATTTTTGTTTTAAATTTTGAAACAACAAAAAATATTTATCAAGCTCTGTATATAGTTTAATTTTAATGTTTAATAATTACGAAAAAGAATATAAATAAAGGCGAAATATTCTTTTAAAAAGTATCGAAAAAAGGATTCAGCAAAATAGATGGAGTTAACTAATTAAATTAATTAGGAACTTTTAAAATGTTATGAAGTCATTCCATCCCTCCAAAAAACCCAACAACTGGACACCAACTCAAAATACGATTAATGAATGGGCTAAGAAACCTCTTTCACTTCGTAACATTTACTAAGAAATAAACCCCAATCTTTTTAAAAAAAAATAATTCAAAAAATTATTTAAAGTCCCTAGAAAAATAAATATATAAATATTATGTTTTAAAATATTTTCTCGTAAGGTCAATCATAAAAAAGCAATACGCGACCCGAATTTGTCCTTCGACTTTGTTTGTCCTTTAATTTTGGTATTTTTATTATTTTATTTTTTTTTCACTTATATTTTTTTTTCATCGATATTTTAAAAGTAAAAAATATTAAATTTGCCCTATATATAATTTATATTATTTTATTTTTTTTAAAAAAAAATAGTTTAAAGGTTAAATTACGATCCCCGAAATGTGTAAGTTTTTAAAAATTAAAAGTTACAAACGCCTTAGGAGGCTGAAGCTTGTTTTTATGACTTTTGTGTTACTATCGTATTAAATAATTGTGTTTCGTTGATATTTGTGAGTAGACTTTAAGGTGAACTTTCTTTTGTTTCTTTTAGATGATTGGTGTCATGAATTGTATTAGTGTAGGAGTAAATATACCAAAAAATCGTATCCGACCCTACACTAAATGTATTTCTTCTACCAATCAAAAATTTCCGCGAATTTTACACCCAAAATTCCTGGAAAGGTGATTTTTGAAAGCTATGTAAAAATGTTTAGCCAAGAAAAAATTGATACTTTATATAAACCGAAAATAAGTTATATTTAGTTTCTATGAATATGATAATACTAAATAGAGTAAAAACCTAAAGAAGTCATGACAAACCAACCAATTAATATTAACTTTTGATGTATGAAATAAAAAAATGATTTATGTAAATTTTACAATATATAACCCGGATTTTAAGTAAATATTCTATTACAAATTTGAAACAGGTCAAAACCAACTGATATAATTACCTCGAGGGAAATAAAAATATTGTTACCTATTAAAACTCACTTTTTGAAAATAGGATGTCAAGGATGAGATAAATTTAAATATTTATTCGGTATTTATAACTATTAGATGGAAGTAATAAATCAATAATACAAAAGAATATAAAACATAAGGCACCTAGATTGAGCAGAAGATATTAATAAATGAATGAATGCCTTAGAAGCAAATAAGGCGTAAAAAGAAAGAAAGAAGATAGAACACATAAATCAGCCGATGTTACTGATACCCCATTTTTCTTGTGGATCATGGCGTAAATTTATTTCTACTTATACATATTTGCCGATTCTTTTTTATCTCAAAAATTTAGTCAATCAAAATTTTTTTGAAAATATCAAATTTTAAAAACCTGGGTTGGAAGATATGAATAATCAAAATTTAAAAAAGATCCAAGCCAGGTCAGGCATAAAAATTTCGAAAAATAATGTTAAATCCAGGTTTGATCTGAAGATGAAGAAAAAAAAAATTTCCTCATATATTGCTCTTCATATTATATAATTGATATATTAAACTATTTTTTAAAAATTTACCAACTCCCCTCCTAGTTATTTATTATGGTTTGTTAAATTGCCCAGCCAAAGGGTTAAAAGACAAAAAACAACCTAAGCAAATCTGAGCCACATGAGCCAATCAGTTGGGTTGGTTTGATGCAGCTCAATAGTTTAACATATAAACATGTATCTCTCAACTAGAGTCCTACACTAATTTTTTCAGGTCCAACCCAGAGAAACAAAATGACATCCAACCAATCCAAATATTTTTTTAAAGATTTGACTCCAATCTAAATAAAAGGTCTGATCCTATTTTATTTTTTTTTGAGGGGGGGGCATAGCCTTATTCCATTTATAAAATAAAAACATTAAGAAAACAAAATATTTTAAATTTTGTCAAGGTCTCATTGTGATCTAGTGAGAAATAAATATTAAAAAAACAAGGGTCATATGTAGGCAAGTCAACTGAATATCTGTCCATGTCTGACCAAAACAAGTTTCATTGAATTGTACTCAATATAGTGCAATCTTTCTGGGCTTTAGTTTCAACTAATATGTTATAGTCAAATTAAAAAGTAGCCAATAAATATTTCATTTATTCAAATAATAATCTAGAATATTAATTTAGATTAAATCTAAAATATTCCAATTTCATATATAAGTTAGGTAGGGGCACTACAGTAAGCTAACAGCTGGTTTAGCGAACCCAGCTCAATTGGTCATGAATGAGATTATTTATATACTATGGTCATGGTTCAAAGTTCAAAAAACTTTTAAGCATTATTCCTACCCCCCCCCCCCCCCTCCCCCTTCAGGTAAAAACTGGTGATTATATTATGGCTTAAATTACTAATTTTAAAATATAATTATAATATATATATTAATTTTTGTATATAATACTAAAAATTGTAGTATTTTTGTAAGCTAATTTTAAGAATATATTTACCTCTGGATTTCCTGTATATATAAGGGTTACCACTCTTCCTGGCTAAAAAATTTTTACAAATAAAATATTGTTAATATTTAGGAATGTTTGATTGTCTAAGATATTTTACAATGGTAATAATTTCAGATAAAAAACCCTCAATTGATTTTAAAAAATTTAAAGTTATAGGGAATTTTTTAGAGAATTATCTTCAGTGATTTTTTATCATTAATTAAAAGACTTAAAATGCCTTATTATTCATTAGAAATATAACGGATACATATTTTAAATTTAAACATATTAAGTTACACCAAGAAATTTTTAGGCTTTTTTAACAAAATATATCAATTTATATATTGATAAAAAAATATTATATTATATATGTTTGTAATACCATTTCCTCGGTGCCTCTGTGATCTAAACTAGCTTGCCAGAAACGCCTTATGTAATTTTTGATATAACCATGTCGTTTTTCTTCATACGGAAAGTTAGTTCTCCATAATAAAGATCCATACCCAAATATCCACATAGACCTTTAAATTGAACTTAATTATGGAAATTTAAAATTTTTATCATTTTACGTTTATAAAATCAAGAAATGATTTGATAATGATAATCCAAAAAAATCCTGATCACACTCGTATATATTGGCATATTTTTATAAAAAAAATTGCATTGAACACATATTTAAATTGGTTATCTCTAATTTGCGACCTTTAACATATGGAATGTATAAAATATAAAAAATATTTTATGAAAGGGCGGAAATATATTTTATCAAACTATCACCTTTATAATTAAAAATTTAGGTCATAAAAACATAAACTAAATTATATATTATTACATGGGAGGTGTAAATATTAGGTTTAAGGATTTAATAAATTAAATATTTTGACATATTATATTATTAATCAGGGCCTATATTTCAAATACGGGGTAAAATTGAATTCAATTAAAATTCTTAAGAAAAAAAATTAATTATATAATGAATCTTATTATTAAAAATAAAAATATAATAAAAATATTTTTTTCTAAAAAATTAAAAAATCATTTTTAACTGGAGCCGCAATATTTTTATGGGTTTTCGTCCCTTTCCAAATTTTGTGGAAGGGGCAAACTTCCGTGATAAAAAAAATATTGAAAAATTTTAAATTTAATATTTTTCTTTTTATTATTGTTAAAAAATTTATATAATTATTTTTCTTTTTCATAATATTTATAGCCACATAGAAGACAGACAAATATTTTTATATTTGTTTTTACATTTTATCATCAACTAAACTAAAAATTTTGATTTCTCTCCTTTTATCATTATTTTCAAAAAGGTTTTTAAAAAATATTTGAAAATATTATTTATACTAAAAATTGCAACAAATATGAATTAAATTAGTAGTTTGGAGAAGAAAATACATTAACAATTGACATTAATTGATAGGTTTTTAATTTTTTATTTTATTTCAGTGACATATATTCCATGGGGATAGCAGGACTCTCGTATTATAATATTCTATAAAATAGATAATATTAATCAATTGTTTAATCTTGAAAAAAATACTCTTTCCTCTTCACGAATTTGTTTGACTGTTGGGATTCGATTTAATAACACTACAGGCAAGAAATAGTCCGATTTTAGCTAAATCTTTTAAATGTTCATATATATATATTTAAATATTTTCATATAGGTAGATTTTTTGTCGTTAGGAGTAATCAATCTTAATCTATTTGAAAGAAATAATAAATTAAGATAATATTTTATCTAGTTCTTAGGTGCAACGTCTATATGGCAAAAAATTTGCAGGAGACAAGCCCCCCTATAGAATCTACTCCTACTCTCCTAAAAATAATTCACGACCTTCGGCAGCGATATTTGTCAAATCACAATGCTATTGTTATATTAATAAAAGGAATCTTATAATAATCTACCATTTATAATCTCCCAACAAAATTTATTTGAAATCTTTCAGGCCCATTTAGTCTAGATATAACAATTGATTTTTCTGTTGGTGATTAACAGCGTTGCTAAAGTAGAATAGTGCATTTTTTCAGCAGTGGTAGCTTTAGTGCGTTATCATTTTAAAAGAAAATAGCGATAGCAGAAGGTAGCTAGCTAATAATATAATAACATGGTGTAACCCAATCTTTAATATTTAAAATAAAATTAGAATCAAAGCTGTATCATTAATAGTTTTTTTTAGTTAGGTGAGTTTATGTCAAAGCTGATTTACTAGCCCAGTCCAAACATGGTATGTCTCAACTGTCCATAAGATATTATTCAAGAATTATATTATAACTTAAAAACCGCCATTTTATTTTAGCATCATTAAGATAATATTTTGTAAATTATTTTATGGATTTTAAACATTAAAATTAACCCCATTTTTAAATTTTATCAAAACATGCTAGAAAAAATACTTATTTCAATCCTTCCACATTTTATCCAATTTGGAGAGAAATTGGTTCAATAGATAAAAAAAAAGGAAAGTGTAGTGGCCTAGTCAGTCATCAAAAATGGTCATTCATGCCAATCCACTATATAATTTCTATTCTAACTATTACTATTATAATTTTAGACAGAGCCTAGCCAGATAAAAAAAAAGATATTTACTATAGATGATTTTTTTAAATTAAATAATACAAAGAATAATAAATTTGTTTAAATTTTTTTTCTTATTATGTATATTAAATTTAATGCTGCATTGGCCTCAAGTGCTGTGGCGTCACTAGGGGGGGGCGCAGGGTCTCAAGCCCCCTAAAAAATTTGAATAGCCCCATGAAGCAAAAAAAAATTTTTTTTTAATGGTTCCTTAATATCCCCTTAAACTAAAAAAAAATTTTTTTGATTGTCCCCTGTTTATTATAATTCTATTAAATAATATATAGATTTAATTTTATTATTTAAAAATTAATAAGACTATCTAAATTTTATTAGATTAGATTAATACATATAAATTATATTTTCACTATGTCAGCTTGCAATCAAATTCTTTGTTAAAAATAAAATATCAATACCATGCATAATGTTTATCAATTTAGCATTAACAGTTGAAGTTTAATTGATTTTTATTAATTAAATTATTATATAACCCTAATTAAATAAATATAAAGATTTATTAATTGAAAATTAACAAATTTAATATTGTAAGCCGAGTTTAAAATCACTATTTAAATAAAATGACTTTGCGATTTAAAAATTTAAGCATTAAAGACTTTATGAAAAAAACTAAAGATAAAAGTAGCAATAATCTTGAGGACCAAAGAAGAGAATTCAATAATAAAGCTGGTGATGAACAAAGTATATTTTATACAGTTTTTAAAATTCAAACTTTGATTTAGTTGAAAGACGATTAATTGTAGTTTTAAAAGTTATCTATATTATAATTTTCCGATGTCCTCACTACGTCATCGTGACGTCATGTCGTCGCTACATCATGTCATCGCTACGTCATGTCATCGCTACGTCATGTCATCGTTACGTCATGTCATCGGTATGTATTTATTTTTTATTTGTTGATTTTTTTATAAACAGATGTTCATATCAAATTTGAATTCCTGAAATCAGAAGAAGTAATTTATTTGTTGATTTTTTATGATCATATCTATTTTTAGAGACTATCATTTTCCTTGACTGAAATCGGAGTGCCAGATACCAATTTTTAGAGATTATCATTTTATTTGAATTCCTGAAATCAGAAGAAGTAATTTATTTGTTGATTTTTTATGATTATATCTATTTTTAGAGACTATCATTTTTCTTGAATTCCTGAAATCGGAGTGCCAGTTATTTAAAAAAATTCTCTAAATAAGGGCACTCTTAAACAGACTTAATCAAAGTTTCCTTTTGAAGAAGTAAGATTATTAAATTAATCTAAATTCTTTTTTAAAAAAAGAAAAGATATATACTCAAATAAGAATATTAAATTAAGTTAATTATACTAATTATTTTATCTACTAGGCATGAGAAATTTTTTTATAAATTATAAGGTCTTGAACGCGTGAAAATTTTTTCCAAATATTATGAGCTGGACCTGGCTTGAAATTTTTTAATGTTAAATGTTAGTCTTATGTAACCAGTAATATATTTACAAAGAATTTTGGTATTGGGTACAAGCTCATTTAAATATATTTTAACTCAAATAATAGTTTCCAATCTTAGTCCTAATGGGTTGGACTCAATGACATTGCTTGGACTTGACCTAAATGGGAAGGGGGGGGGGTATAAAAATTATATAAATTGGATATGATTTTTAAATAAAAGGTAACATCTTTCTTAAAAAAACGAATAAAATTCTCATTCTCCGTCATTTTTGACGGGCTATCTACTAGTAAATATTGAAAACAAAAATTTTAAAAGAAAGAAAATAGGTAAATAAAGTTATATATAAGTCTGTGTCCAAAATGTTTTGAAAAAATCCTTAAAATTTTCACGAATTAATAACAAAACACTTTGGACATTTAAGTTTTAAAAAATAAAAATTTATTAGTTAATTATGTATTTTAATGGAAGGTTTCTTTTTCACTTGATCATAATTCAAGTTATATGTTTTTCCTATTTCCTCCCAAATTTGCCTAATTTCTATAGAATTTCTATTTAAGTCATTTTTCACCAGAGTATTAAACAAATTGATTTCTTTAGTTTTCAAGTTAAGCAAAAATTGTTTTACAATATATTTTCACCTTTCAGGAGCAGGACACTAGAAATGTAAAATTTTTTTTAAAATTTTTCTATTATAATCACATAAGGTGATGTCAAAATATTAGCTAAATAAAACATAGTAAATATTTTCTATATAAATAGTCAATATCTTAAAAAATCATACACTATTATTCTTTTTACATTAATAAAGATAATATTGGCTAAATTGTTTACTCAATCATTCTTTCATAATTTGATAATTATATATTTATTTGTTTATCCTAACTTAATAATAAACTATATTTTAATAAAAATGCTAAATAAATTTAGAATAGTTTGCTTATTTATATATATTTTTGAAAAATGGACACTATAATATGGAATATTACTTTTTATATATTATATTTACAAAAATAAATACACTGAAAAGAAATACATTTTAAAATTAATCTTATTTAGATTAATTGAATAATGAAGAAAGTATTGTGAATGACATAATTGTAAATAATGTAAATACAGAAGGAAAGAAAATAGGTAAAAAATTAATTTATATATAAGATATTTTATTTATAAAATAATAGAAGCACTATGTGTGGCTCAATCTGAAGATATATGTGAGATCCAATGTACAGATATCTCTGAATGTATTAATTTTTAAAATATAATTAAATTAAATATAAAATTTTATATAGACATAGAATCTGAAGAGGATACTACAACAAGCCAGATTCTTGGTAGCAGTAAATATAAAGGTATATTGGATAAAGAAGTTTTATTGCAACAAATTACATTTGATGAAATACATTTTAAAATTAATCTTATTTAGATTTATTAAATAATGAAGAAAGTATTGTGTTTGTGAATGACATGATTGTAAATAATGTAGGTACAGAAGGAAAGAAAATGGGTAAATTAATTTATATATAAGATATTTTATTTTTAAAATAATTGAAGCAATATGTGTGGCTCAATCTGAAGATATATGTGAGATCCAATGTATAGATATCTCTGAAGGTATTAATTTTTTAAATATAAAATTTTAGGCATGGATTCTGAAGAGGATACTACAACAAGCCAGATTCTTGATAGCAGTAAA